GGGAGGAGGATGTAAGCAAAGGGAGGAGGATGTAAACAAAGGAAAGTAGAATGTAAACAAAGGGAGGAGGATGTAAACAAAGGAAAGTAGGATGTAAACAAAGGGAGCAGGATGTTTGAAGCTGCAGCGTTTCTCTTTATTCATGTTGTCTCTTAAAAACATTCAGACTTCCTCTTTCAACCGGACCAGCAGAGTCCGGACTGGTCCGAGGACAGGATCTGAGGAAGTTCTGACCCTCTGCTGTGTCAGTGTAGTCCTTCACCCTGATCTGGACCTGCTAACACTGACTCTGGCACTAACTGAGCTGGGGGGCATTCCACGAAGCTGGCTAAAGAAGGCTGGGCTATCGCCGGTAAGCGTGGCTTGAATAAGCGGCCACTTTAATCTTAGCTGCGACTCGTTCCACTAAAGAGGCTCAGCTGTTTTTCATCAACGCTTATTCTAGCCAGGCTGATCCAAGCTGCGGCTATGCGCACCTCCAGGGTACATAAAAAGCCCCAACGTATCGATTGTCGAAATGATGAGATCATGGAAAAAAAAGGGCAGAGCGGAGTCTTTCTCAGCGGCGGAGCAAACACTCCTCATGGAGTTGTACATATAATGTCTCAGTGTCAGGCCATGTCTCTTTAAATTATATCTTAAATTCTTAAACTGTGTGCGGTTTTGTGCGTGTATGTGTGGGTGAGTGAGGGTGGGTGTGTGTCTTTGTGTGCATGAATCCATGGGTGTTCAGTAATTCAAAAGAAGGGCAACACTGTTGCCATTGTGTCAGCCAGGGAGATGGCGTGGCGAAGTATCGCGGACCGTTTAAATTCGCAAGTTATAGCCGACAAATATTTTACAACTGACGCATGTCTCGATGCAGTCAGCCTGCTTGGCTGTCTAATTTATTCCTCACTTCCCCGTATGTACTGTAAACACTTTTTAAAAAAAACTTTTTATCTCCTGTATGTGCAGCTCATTGAGCTATGATTAAGTTCATCAGTGTGGGAGAATTAGACACATTTCTCATAAAAACAGCTCTGTGGGAAATCTGGAAGGATTAATGCATCTTGATTCCATTTGCCCTATGTGTGTGTGTGATGAGGGTGGGTGCAGCTCAGGATGGTTCCTGTCCAGGGATGGATCAACTGTGCAGTTAAAATCTCCCCCTAAAAACATAAAACCATCATTCTCACAATCCCTAACACATTTATAATGTTTAAAAATGCTATTCGCTCCACAGCATTAGTAGGAGCATAGACATTTGAAAACACACATTTTACATTACATTGATATTAAAATCACACATGGATAAAAAATAAATAATCAGGAGAGCAGTCAGTGAAAGGTAAAAGTATCTAAAAATCATCTTCATCACTGATGATTTGAGCTTTTACCCTAAAATCTTGAGTCTAAAAACCTCCTTCTCTGTTAAAACCTCCTCCCTATGGCTCTTCCTGGTGAGGGGCCTGGCAGACCTAATAAATGAGCACAGGTCTGGGAAGAAATCCTCAAAATTAGGCAGCCTGGAGCCCTAGTCTGCTCCAGGAAAATTTTTATTTGAGCCGGGGAGTAGGGCGACTGAGAGTCCTGGGTTAAAGAGAAAGCACTCTCAGACTCTGTGGTCTTCTTCATGATCAGTTTTTTCGTTTTCCTGTTCTTTTTAACAGTCAGTATTTTTTTCTTTTTTGTGACACTTTAAGAAGGTCTCCTCCATTAACTCCTCACTCAACAGTTTTCTCATACTTTCGTCGGCTGAGTCTGAATGCTCTTCATGCTCAGAACAGCCCGCAGCAACCGGAGGAACCTGAGCCCGGTCACAGCAGCACACAACTCTCCCCCGCAGCAGCAGCTGCAGCCGCAGCAGCGGCGGCAGCAGCAGCAGCAGCAGGCCGCCGTGCTCCTTCTTTCTCAGGGCAGGAGCGAATCAGGTGCCCCTCTGCACCACAACCAAACACTCCATCGTTTCCGTTGATGCGGAGCCATCCCTGGGGGGGCGCGAGTCACCCGGCTACAAATAGGTTGGTGTGCACCCGCGATAGCGCAGCACCTCCTGTGCAGGCACCGCGCTCGTCACGCATGCGCCATACTGAACTCACCACACCAGTAGGGGGAGTCCAACGCCCTAAACCCTGTTTCTTGATTTTACTGCGAAGAAGCAGCGTTTGTTGTGGTGGACACTCAAGGCGAGATACTTGTCGGTTGTTGTGCCGTAGAATGCACCCCTGCCGTAAATTGCCCCCCCAACGGGAGCGCGGTTGAAAGTACTTCATAAAAAATAATTCAAGTTTTCCTTACCATTGGATGAATTCAAAAGTGTCTGCCTTTAATAATTTCATTCAGGCTATTCAGATAAGCCGAAAAAATAGCCCTCTGATTCGGAATATTTGCTGTCCCAAAAATATAATGTTCGCTTGACAGCTTACTGTACAGTTTATATACCCAAGCACATCTCCGTATGTGCATTTCTGAGACACATAAAAACAGAACGAAAGTTGTCACGATCAAATAGTCGTATTTTTTAAAATATGAGATCATTTTCTTCCACTTTAAGAAGCTAACAAGTGGAGGGGATGCAGGGGGTGCATTCTACGGCTTAACACCTGTTAAGTATGCTGCTATCCCCACCTGTACAATGTCCTCCTGAAAGCGTACAAACACGCTTTCTGCTGTGCTAATTCATGGTGGGAAATAGCTCAGAAACCAGGGCGGAGATAACCACAGACGCCGTGCTATGCCAGCAGCTGCTCCACTCCTTTCGCTGTGGAGAGCTCTGAGAGGAGCTGAAGCTGCTCCGTTTCGCGTTGTGCAGAGTCCGTGCCGCGGAACCAATGTTTGGACGTCGGAATTTTTTTAGCGGCGGACAACCCGCGCTTTCACCTGTCACCGTAACAACCAGCAACCGTGTTCAGATCAGAATAATAAATTGTATATAAAAGTACAGAATGGAGAGATATTTGACAGGGATGAAAAGAAAAGCTGAAGCCAGCAATACAGCATGCCTAGATGACGGTAGGCCAAACCAACAAAAAGCCAAGTCAAGGAAATATGATGAAGCTATCTTGCCATCTTGCTCTTGGATTCACAGGATTTTTTGTACTTACTCAACTTGATATTGTTTGATTATTATTGTTCTTGCAACATAATAATAATAATAGATTTTATTTGTAACGCACTTTACATTTGAAAACAAATCTCAAAGTGCACAACAAGACAACAATAACAGTAAAATCAAGCAACAGGGCAAAACAATACAAACAGTCAGCAGATAAAATCAGATAAAATTAGTCTGGGTAGGCTTTCCGAAAGAGGAAGGTTTTGAGTCCTTTTTTTTGAGTTTTTGAGTCTTTTGAGTCAGGAATGAAGGTGTCATGAATGACCACTCCTCTCTCCACCACCTCGTTAACCAGCACCGTGCTATTCAGAAAAATTAAAATAGCCCCGTTCATTAGGGAGGCAGATTTCACTGAGTCATATCCGACCACCTCTCCTACAGCCAGACTGGCTTCCTCCACCGAGCACTGCACAGCGGGGTGAAGCTTGATCGCATGACGGCGAGTCAGCTTCTCAAACTCCGCGGCTGCAGCCTCGGCCACCGGCATTGTACTTTGTTTAACAAATGAACACACACACTCACACACGCAACAAAACACAGCCCTCTAAACACCAAATGATGGATAAACAACTTATAAACACATTCACACCAAAAGAAAAGAGAAAGAATTTTTTAAAACTCAACAAAAAAGTTGAATCAAAAATCGATTCGCTCTCAGCTCATCTCTCACACACCATCTCAGTCAGAGAGAGAAAGAGAGAGAGAGAAGGAGGGAGAGAGAGAGGGAGGAAAAGAGAGATAATAAGAGGTAGAGGGAGAGAAAGAGAGAGAGAGAGACAGAAAGATAGAGAGACCTCACAGTAAAGTTCAAAAACTACAACAACCATTTTGCTCAACACACACACACACACACACACACACACACACACACACACACACACACACAGGGGGAGGTCAGCAGGTGGTCCAGATACATTAGAGTCTGTGTTCACTTCCTTCTCACGCGATCCTCCTCCTCACACACTCAGCTGTTCACACAGCGTCAGTGTCACTCTGTCAACACACTTGTTTATATTCACTTGTCCATATTCACTCTTTCATATTCACCTGTCCATATTCACCTGTCCATATTCACCTGTCCATATTCACTCGTTCATATTCACTCGTTCATATACACTCGTTCATATTCACTCGTTCATATTCACTCGTCCATATACACTCGTTCAAATTCACTCGTTCATATTCACTCGTCCATATACACTCGTTCATATTCACTTGTTCATATTCACTCGTCCATAGACACTCGTTCATATTCACTCGTTCATATTCACTCATCCATATACACTCATTCATATTCACTCGTTCATATTCACTCGTCCATATACACTCGTTCATATTCACTTGTCCATATTCACTCGTTCATATTCACTCGTCCATATACACTCGTTCATATTCACTCGTCCATATACACTCGTTCATATTCACTCGTCCATATACACTCGTTCATATTCACTCGTTCATATTCACTCATTTATGCTCTGAATGTCCTCTGAGTTTCTTATAGTGACCTTGCACTCCAGAAAAGTTCACAGCATGTCCATCAGAGACCATAGAGACCATGATGGCGGACTCTCCAGACCAGCTGATTCATGGAGTCATGTGATCTCACACTTATGTAACAAAGAAACCAGAGTCATTTAAACCAGATTCTTCTAAACCAGACTCTTCTGAATCAGATTCTCTTAAACCAGATTCTTTAAAACCAGACTATTCTAAACCAGGTTCTTCTCAGATATTAAAGTCCAGATGTTGGTTCTGAGGGCTGCAGCAGCATTTATCAGAGCAGGAACTTTAGAGGAACCAGGTCCAAGAACCACCAGGAAACACACACACACACACACACACACACACACACACACACACACACAGGCTGAACGGATACCTGTTCTCTTGGGTCCTCTCCATGGTTCCTGGTCTGGAGATCTGGATCTTCTGCTGGTTGGTCCTGGGTGGTTCTGGTCAGGGTCTTAGAGTCCAGATCGAGGTGAGACTGATGACTCATCAGAAAAGGAGTGAAAACACAGGAAGTGGAATGGACTCTAAACACTGGGGAGAAGGATTTCAAAATAAAAGAGGAAACCGTGCAAACACAGAGGAGGAGGAGAAGAGGAGAGGAGAAGGAGAAGAAGGAGAGAAGAGAAGGAGAGGAGGAGGAGAGGAGAAAAAGAGGAGGACAGAGAAGGAAGGGGAGGTAAAGAAGAGGAGGAGAGGAATAGGTGAGGAGGAGAGGAGGACAGGAGAGGAGAGGTGGAGGGGAGGAGGAGAGGAGGAGAAGAGAAGATAAGAGAAGGAGGAAAAGAGGAGGAAAGGAGGAGAGGAGAAGCCGAGGAGAGGAGGAGGAGAGGAGAAAAGGGGGAGATCCAAAGAGTAAGAAAGTCTCAAAGGCTCAGACCAGATCCTGAGAGACAGAGACCAGAACTTCAGTAGAACTAGTCTGAACATTTTTAAAGAAAAGAAAAAAAATTCTTCTTCAGATTTGTTTTTTTGTTTTCATTTTTATTTGTTTGGCATTTGTTTATCTGTTAAGCATGACCCCCCCCCAAAAAAAAAAAAAACCCTGTGTGGAATGTTCTGGGGGCTCTGCTGTAATATGATCCAGTCTGTGGTTCTGCCTGTCTGCTCCTCTGATCCTCTTTGTCTCAGCTCTGACTGTCACATGATCAGGTGTGTGTGTGTGTGTGTGTGTGTACCTGCACATACCTGCTCAGGTCATCTGTTTCCTGTCTTTTGTAATCTGATCCGGTAGGTCTGTCTCAGTCTGACCCCCCTGACTCTGGTCCTCCTCCTGCAAACAGTCTGATCTCTGTGTCTCACAATAGGGGAGAGTGGGTTACAATGATCCATGTTTCATATTTCGGATCACTACATCAAGTCAATCCTAGTTTTGTCTCTAACTAGTGTATCTGCATATATTTCAGGATGTTGTTCATCCCTGAAAACCAACAGAATGAGTGCAAACAGAAGCCGCATCCCTACTACCCCCCCCCCCCCACACACACACACACACACACACACACACACCCCGCCCTCCCTCACCTTCTCTCTCCCTAAATAACAGTCACTTCTTCACATTCATGTGTATTTTTATCTATTATACAATATTCAACTGGTACAATCATTCTTTTTATTATCATTACATATAACTGCTAAAAAGCTGTTTTGTAACAACTTACCCCGGTCTCCCCTACATGACACCTGCACAGGTGTGGTTTTGGGATCACTGAGCCCTGTACCCAGGTGGACCTGCAAGCGTCTGGTCTTCTGGTGTGTGTGTGTGTGAACATGATACCGCTGTGTTGATGAACCTCATTCAAACCAATCACATCATGTAGCAAAGACAGAGAGGAGGTGGGGCGAGCGAGTGGGAGGACATGTGACCTGGTTGTCAGGTCAGTCTGTCTCGATGTCCGAACACACACAACAAAAGAGGAGCAGCAGATCAGACAGTGTGCATTGTAAGTAAATCAACTTTGACCTGAAGTAACCTCATAAGTTAAACTCTATAAGGTACACACAAAGGTCGTGACCTCTCAGTGAGCACACAGTCCTCAAACTAACAGAGGGGCGTGTAAAAACTTCAATGAACACACACTCACACACAATCTCAAACACACACACACACACACCATCCATCCCTTGCTTGCTTTTACGCACGCACATCGATCAGGTGCCTACTATGAACCCCGTGCGCTCGCTCACACACACACAAACAATCAGACACACACACACACACACACACACAATCAGACACACACACACACACACACACACACAAACACACACACACACACACAATCCATCCATCCATCCCTTGCTTTTACGCACGCACATTGATGAAGCCCTACCTCTTCAGGTGCCAGCTATAAACCTCGTGCGTGCGCTCACACACGCAGGCATGCTCGCACACACAATCTCACACACACACACACACACACACACACACACACATACACACACACACACACACTCCATCCCTTCCTTGCTTGCTTTTACGCACTCACATCGATCAGGTGCCCGCTATGAACCTCATGAGCTTGCTCATACACGTGCGCACACACACACAATCAGACACACAATCACACACACACAATCAGACACACACACAGAAGGAAACTGCAGGTGCAGATTGTACAACTGCCGCTGTTTCTGGAAGGATTTTGGCTATTTTCATGGCTGCATATGCACAGACACACACACACACACACACACACACACACAAGTAATTCATAAAAACACATGCACATAATCCATGATGTCCATAAAGCACACCTAAACAGTTTTTATTAAATTTATTTTCTCTCTGTTTTGAAGATGTTTAGTATATTTAGCCTGTTTTCATTGTATATATTTAGTATTTTTAGTCTGCATTGTACATATTTCTTCTTATATTTAATTCTATTTTGTATTTTTTTGCTGCTGTAACATGAGAATTTTCCAGTTTGGGATCAATAAATTATATATCTATCAATCTATCTATCTGCATGAAATAAACCAGCTCTGTGAAAAAGGGAAAACAGTGCCCCTCTGGTTCTAAAGGGTATGGCAGGAAAAAAGAAAAATGGCGCCATCTGCTGGTCGGCATAAAAAAAAAAACAGTTTGACCCTCAAAGAATAGGTGTACATGAGAAGAAAAAAAAATCCAAAAATTATACTGCATTGGCAGTGTATTGAAGAAAACATATTTTAATGGGAGTCAATGGGAACGTTTCGGTCCTTAGAAGTGTCTACTGTAGTAATAAAAATTGCTCACATGCAAAAAAGTTCAGAGGAAGAAAAAAGAAAAAAGATTAAATTGCACCTAAAATTACACACTTTGACAAACTTTCATGCCATTTGCATCATCACAGCCAAAATTATCCACAAAAGTATAGTTACGAGGACCAAAATGGTCCTTAGGGGTGCACAAGGGTTAAAGTGACAGTAGCTAGGAGGCTGCTCTAACAAAAGTGCAGAGGAACGTGTAGAGCTGCGGCTATGCTCCCTGATCTCTGTATCGAACTGATTGTAGCTAGGAAGCTGTTCTGAAGGGAGTGCAGAGGAGCGTGTAAGACTGCAGCTCTGCTCCCTAGTCTCTGTATATAAGTGATAGTGGCTGGGACGCTGCTCTAAAGGAGGTGCAGAGAGGCGTGTAGGACCGCAGCTCTGCTCCCTGATCTCTGTTCTGAGTTGTCAGTGGTTCGGACTAATAAAATCGGCCAGATTTCTGGATAAACGGACCGCCCCAATCTCGAGTGGGATGAATGCCGTCCCGACTAATCAAACCAGGCTTGCCCCAAAACGACTTACAATTATCAATGAAGCCCACGCCGTTTTGCGGACACCACCTCGACAGCCAGCGGTTGAATGATGAGATACGGCTTCACATCTCATCAGTTGTCTGATCGGGCAGGGGACCAGAGAAAACTACAGAGTCCGACATGGTTTTGGCGTATTCACACACCGATTCCATATTCAATTTAGTGACTTCTGACTGGCGGCACCGGGAGTCATTAATGCCAACATGTATCTTCATCTATGATGCATTAACTGTCTTCATATATGATGCGTTCAATCTTTCAAGTTTGAGATGGAGTCCAGAATTTAAAAGCAGACTCATCGAAATAAAAAAGACAAGAAATAAAGAAAAGAAGAATGAGAGAGAGAGAGAGAGAGAGAGTATAAAGAGTGGAGTGTTGATGCAATCAGACCTCAGGCAGTTTCTCCTCAATTACAGCCTCCTCCATCGCTCACTGTGTGTGTCTATATAAAGACACGGACAGCTCTGATTGGACCTATGGCTGTGTGTGTGTGTGTGTGTGTGTGTGTTGCCGCAGTGCCACATCTCTCTCCTCCCACTCTGGAGCTAAAAACAAACGCAGCAGCTCTCATTACACACACTGAGAGTCCAATCAATACATGAGGCCTCTGGGGGCCCACACTGCACTCTGACTGTGTGTATGTGTGTGTGTGTGTGTGAACAGGCAGACAGAAGTCGGTTGTTTTAGAGGTTTTGGGTGTAAAGTTGATGTGACGGTACAAAGTGATGCCTTCACTGTCTCCTGCTGTGACATGTTCATTTCATGTCATGATGCCTTCACTGTCACTCCTGGATCCGACTAGCCGCTCTTCGATGGCGGCGCCTGAACGCTCTCTCTGATGATGCGTTCACTGTCCACTGAGGTGCAGTGTTACATGGCTGGTGGTGCGTTCACTGTCTTGTTCTTCTTCTGTTGTGAATAAAGGAGAGCGTAGTGTTTTCTTTCAGAGGGTGTGCTGTCACAGATGTTGTTGGAAAAACAAACTGATGGATCCTGTCATCACACACACACACACACACACACACACACACACACACACACACACACACACACACACACACACACGGTCTATATTTACACGGTCTATATTTAGACTGCCTCTGCAGGAGAAAACTTATAAATATTTTAAACTCTGTAACCCCCCGACTTCCACCCCCTCACTCCCGCCTGTCAGACATGATGGGATCGCCCCTCCGGTTTCCCCGGCGATCAGGGCGCCCTGTTTCGTCACCATGCTGTCCTCATACAGGCTCTTGTTCTTATGTAGACATAGAAATATAGATATATATGATATACATAAACACATATAGATGTTGGCTGCTGTAGGCCACGGTCCACCCAGCAGGTTCATGTTTGTAGACTCTCATGTGGGGCAGACCGGGATTAGTGGAGACGTGGTTCCCAAGACCTGGACCTGACTGTTCCTGTCTGTCTCTGCTGTAAGGATTTATATGGGACTCTATGGGGACTGACTCACTAAAGGACACAGCCTCTAGTGGACAGGAGAGGAGCTGCAGGTTTTTGGACTTGTGTTTGAGAAACGATTAGACTACGAAATGAAACGATTCTCTCTCAGGTTCTCATCTCCTGGTTGGACCAGATCTCTGAGGACCAAGCCCAGACCTCCTCTGTCTACCTGACCGCCAATTTCCACGGCATCCTGAACATCTATGAAAAGGCCATATCCTCTGATCGTAGCTGATCGTAACCATTCAAGTTAACATGTCAATTTCCACCTACTTCGAAAACGGAGCGCTTTGCCTCCCTTGGAGCTTTCCTTTAATTAAAGACACATTCAAAAGAACTCATCACTTCCTCCCCTTCAATTAACCCCGCGGCCTGACCAATCAGACGCTATCTCGTTAAGGCAGACCCTGTCGGCGGTGAGCAGTCACCTCTCTAATCTGTTCCTCTCTGCGGGACAGGAAGTAGCGGACAGCTAATTAGCGCTGAGGCTGCGTCTCCCTGCTGAGAAACCCTGAACTCGACCTCCATCAGCAAACTTTACAGAGAACAAAAAACAGAGGGAATTGTGGGAAGGATGAAGGGGGCGGAGTCAAATCACAGGGCTAATATACAGTCACCTGCAGAGATTAAAGAGAACAAACTTGAGTCAGCATTTATCTGATTTAATGAGAAAACTTTAGGAAACTGACTTTTCCTAGCGCGGTGAGATTTTAGGGCTGCTCTCTTTCTGATGAGCTCACTGATTTATTAGCGAATCAAATCGTCTCTTGATAAAAAGGTGAAAAACTGAAAAAGAATAAAAATTAAAGATGTTTGTGTGAGGACAGAAATCACAGACAGACGCTCTTGTTCTTCTCCATTATTTTCTCAGACGATATTTTATATTTTTCTCATGGTTACATGAATTAGGGTCATGGTGGATATCAGTCTCATAAATAGATCCGTTGATTCTTCATACAGTTAGAAGTCATGTCACAGCGCGTTAATATTTACAGACTTAAACATACAAACGAAACAAAGCAGCAGGCCGGTCACTGCCCAGCACATAGACCGATCCCGCAGAGAGTCTATACAGTGCAGCTCAAACACCTCACAGAGAGTTTCAGCATCACGTTGGAGTCACATCTCATCATAGTTTGACTTTCTCTAAACGAGACTGTCCTCTGAAGTGCGAGCTGCACTGTAAAAACCTGAACAAAAAAAAGCAGAAATTTACAGGCAGATACAATGTAAAAACAACCGTCTGCTACAAGCACATATCCAGGATGCGAATTTTTAAAAAAAATATCGCATCCAGGACATAGTCATAGTCCAAGAGGAGAAACAAAGGCAGAGCAGACAGTAGAAGTGTCCATAAAAGGAGCGTCAACATTTTCAGATCATCATAGAAACAAAAGCCGATTTAAAAGCAACAACATGAAGATATGTTCATTTAAGCAGGGAGTAGACCGGCCCGGCAGGAATCCTAAAGAACTCAGTTGCAGAAAAAGCAGACGGGGCTTAAAGTTTCACTTTTTTATACTGCACCATTTGGTGTCCCATCAGGGATTCAAAAAAAGTCACAAATAACAAAAAAAGTGCAATTACTTACAGTTCGTGTGACCCAGGATATAAACAGAGCCCTGGGATAACAATGCTGCGCCATCACATAGAAACAGCCAATAGTTGAGTTTGGAGCCATTTTGTTTCCCAGAGCGAAGTCAATCTGAACTGAAGAGTCACTTTACAAGTTTTTAATTTTCAGGTTTTACCACAAAACAAAACAAACAAAATTCAAAGAGATTTTAAAATATTTTCTCACATTTTCTGATTTTCATGCTTTGAAAAAAAAAAAAATCTAATCTAATCAAATCAAATCAAATAATCGATCAGTTCTTCATTTGGAAAAATAAAATGACATATTGTGCGTGAAAAAGGACAAAAACTTGATGTTGAGAACGACGAGTTCAGTAATAAATAAAAAATCGACACGTGCAGAAAAATCACAGAAACAGACGAAGACACAAAGCTGTGAAGCCTGGACTCCAGGAAATATCCATGGCCAACTATAACCTGCAAATTTAAATAAAACACAAAGTGTTTGTGCTCCAGGACGTAGCCATGGCTGACTTATGTTAGAGAACCAAAGGTAGAGAAGACAATTGGCGGAGTCTTTGAACCGGAAATGAAAAAAATTTGGTAAAAATCTCTGCCTTCTGTCTCAACTGTCGAACACGGCAGGAAATCTTGGCGTGAAGAAGGTCCAGGGTCCCCAACAAGATCCTTACAGAGACCACAGGTTTTATTAGGAGGGAGCAAGATACCTTCAAATGTGCACACAACATCATGACCTGATCCCTGAAGATAAGCATCTTGTGTACGCAAGATATCCACCTGAAAACTTTCATCAGTTCAGGTCTTCTGTCATATCAGAACAGGATGACTTATCTTGCGCACAGAAGTCAGTATCTTGTTGAAACCAGATTTTAATGATGGCAAACAGGTCGTTATTTTGCGGGGAGTTATCTTGTTCAGTTATCTTAGGAGAACAAAAAATGATCTTGACAGATGAACTATGATGGACTATCATCTGACAAATGTCCTCATGTAAAATAACACACTGTGCAAGCAAGATGACTTGCAATCTTGTTTGCACAAGATATCTAACTGGTGCTCAAAGTCCAACTGACTAGGATAAAGTGGTTTTTAGAGTTACACTTGGATCAGCACTGAAATAGTCCCAGGAAATAGAGCAGTAATACCCAGAGAGTCACAACATATTAAAAGCTTGAATTCCAGGACATAGTCAGACCGTGACAGAGAGACAGAAACAGGTGATTTGCAGTTTGCAGTCGGTTACAACGGTTTTTCTCCCGGTTATATCCTGGAACCAAAAGAAGTGAGCGGTACAGTCTAATTAAAGTACATTCAATAGCAACAGAAAAGGCTGAGTATGTCTTCATGTCTTTTGTTTTTTTCGACACTGAGACACAAAAGATGGACAAATTCCAGCATTTAGTCATAGCTCAGCAGTCAGGCGGAGGTGGTGAAATCACGGTGACTCCGGACAGTAGTCAAAGCCACGACGGGTCTGAGGTTTGTGGACACAGAGGAGAGGAATGGAAGAGAGGGAGATTCCAGGTGTTAGTCAGAATCCAGTCCACACTTTCCAGATGTGCAGAGTAGGTATGGACTGACGGGGTTCCAGGTGATAGTCTCATCCTGACCCAGCTGTACTTCCACCTGGATTCTCCTTACTGAGACGGACTAATTCCTGGGATAAAACCTCCAGATCCTGCAGACAGAGACAGTTTTCTGTTATTATACAGGACCGGTAATGAATGAGCTGCAAAGTGTTTAACCCTCCAGCCTACTTTACATTCAGATAAGTGTTCATAAAATAATCATTTTTAAACATTTTTTAAAACTTTTATCGACTCATATCTCTTCAACAATTTCATCCTTTATCCCACACTTCAGAACTTGGATGTCGGATTTTCGACGGTAAAAGTTTCGCTCACGGCATGCCCGGTTATAAACATGGACGCAGATTTGCACCCGTACACACAGGCAGGAGCACACAAACTTTTCCTTACACACATATCCCACTCTTAGACATCCATATCTAGTGTCATGTAAAGTTTCATTAATTTCTGATGATGTTTAGTGGATGAATCAGCGCTTCAAACACTCTCAGTCCATGAATGAAGACTTGCGTGCACTGAAGGGGTTAAAATTATGTGCTGGCTCAATCTGCTGTATCACTGTCGTAAAGTCAAATTTTGAGCGCTGGTGATTGACAGACTGCAAAAAAAAAGGTTGTAATATGTTGTTCGTTCCATAAGCACACGGTCAAAAAATGGGTTTTTAATGGAAGTCTATTGTCCGATTTGTGGACAAAGGAGGGTGGGTGGAGCTAGAACGCGGTGACAGAGAACTACAGGTGGCCCCCTTTTTTTTTTTATATGAAGAAAAACAAGAACTCTCACCAAATTTGATTTTCTAATCTTTAAAAATGTGACTGTCAGTTCAAAATAAAGAGGAAAAAAAATGACAAATGGCCTTAAAACAGACAGGGTAGGAATGAAGGGTTAAATCTGCTCCATGTCAAGTCATAAATCTGCTCACAGAGTTCAGCTGATTGGACCATAACGAGGGAGTGAGGAGGACCTCAGAACCATCTGGGTCGTTTAACGGTGGAATGGTGGTCTGAACTCCATTACCCAGAATCCCCCCTCTCTCACCTTCTGCAGGTGCATGTTCTTGGTCAGCTGCTCCTCCAACATGTTCTGCAGCTTCTTGTTCATCTCTCTCAGGTTCTCATCTCCTGGTTTGACCAGATCTCTGAGGACCGAGCCCAGACCTCCTCTGTCTCCCTGAGAGCCTCCGTGACCCCCGACTGCACTGCCTGACACATCTGAGGAGACAAGGACACAAGGAAACAAGGAGATGAGGAGAGGGGGAGAGAAGGAGATTATCTAGTTTATCTCTCTGGTGATGTGAATAAAAACTCAGTGAATGTGCTTTGTGTGTGTGTGTGTGTGTGTGTGTGTGTGTGTGTGTGTGTGTGTGTGTGTGTGTGTTAAAAAGAAACTGCAGCACACTCACACACATACCCACACACACACTAAAAGGAGACATAAAAGAGAGGAGACGGAGGAGAAAAAACAAATGAAGAAATAAAAGAAGAGATACTGATCATCCTGAGGTGGCAGACACACACACACACACACACACACACACACACACACACACACACACACACACACACAGAGTCAGCAGCTGTGTGTGTGTTCATGCTGACAGTGCAGAGTGTGTGTAGTAAATATTTAAGAGCTGAACACCTGTAAACGTGTTCACCTGCAGGCGAACAGCTGGACACTCTGCTGAACCCAGAACTCACCTCCAGGTTCAACATTTAAAGAAGATCCGGAATAATTGCGAACAGAACCTCCTCAGGACGGACTCTGGACTCCAGAAGACTGTCATGTGGCCCCCTGCTGTCGAACCGATACTTAAAAACTCTGAGGGCCTCAACTGTCTCTGACACGCTCAGGTTTCCACCACAAGCTTTAACTGGATATATATATATATATATACTGTATATATACATATGTGTGTGTGTGTGTGTGTGCGTGTGTGTGTGTGTGTGTGCGTGTGTGTGTGTGTTCAAACAGCTGCAGTATCAAATATTCATCACACACACACACACTTTCAGTCCGGCCTGCAGCAGCAGCTCGGCTCTCTTTTACTGACCATTAGATTTACTATTATTACTACAGCCTTAATAGGAGAGAGAGAGAGAGAGAGACAGACAGAGAGAGAGAGAGAGAGAGAGAGAGAGAGAGAGAGAGAGAGAGAGAGAGAGAGAGACAGACAGAGAGAGAGAGAGAGAGAGAGAGAGAGAGAGAGAGAGAGAGAGAATCAAACCAGTCAGACATGAAATTGAAAACAGCAGAAAAAGGAGGAGGAGGAGGAGGAGAGGAAAGCAGAGTTTCGGTACAGCTCAGTTCTGGTCCTCAGATCAGGTCCAGTTTAGATACTGGGAGAGTATGTGTTACGTCTGGTTCACACAGGAAGCGCCGCGCGCGGAACGGAAGCGCCGCGCGCGCGCAGCTCCGGCTCGCGCTTGGCTGTTCACACAGAAAGCGTTTTCTCAGACATCGACTGAGCCCGGCAGTGCTCGGCCGTTTCCGTCTGCCCTCAGTTTTCCACACTTACGAGCGCTTTAAAAATGGGTAAATCAATATTTATTTACGTTTTTATTTCGTCATACATAAATTAAATATTGGCAGCATCTTCAAGTATTGTTTTAAAATCTTATTTAGGGGTAAACAACGAATGAATTGGGGAGTCTGCTGACTCCGTTGTATGTGTAGCCTTGTTAGCTCGAGGCTATTGACTCTATCGTAATAAAGACCCCTCCTTTGTCTCAATAACATCACTGAATCTCTGCAGCTCTCCCTCCGTGTGTGTGTGTGTGTGTGTTTGTGTGTGTGTGTGTGTGTGTGTTTGTGTGTGTGTGTGTGTGTGTGTGTGTGTGTGTGTGTGTGTGTTCATCGGTAAAAAAAATAGACCGACAAGCAACACCGTCAATCCTTTTCTAATTTATTGAAATTTACTTTATTTTGAAAATTGACCGGATTCTCTCGCATCTCCTTCCTGACTTCCTGTCTGGTCCGATCTGCTCTGCTGAGCTTTACATCGGCTCGCGCCAAAAATAGAGAGAAGCGGAGCAGCCGCGCTCCAGAGCGCGAGCCGTTCCGCGCGCGAGCTGTGTGAACAGTCTCATAGGTTAACATGGGCGCCGATCTGAAACTCTGTGCGCGGCGCTTCGTTTCCGCGCGCGGCGCTTCCAGTGTGAGAACCAGGCGTTAGGCCTTACTAGACCTCAGTAAAGACCTCCCTATCAGAGTTCTCAGATGTTTGATTCTCACCTAAGATAAAGAAAATGGACTGAAAACTGGAATTAAAGAATTTAGAACTGAACTTCAACTGATGAGAAATGGGGGGGGGTCATGAAAAAAACAAAATCAGCTGATGTTTGAGGAGTTGTTAAAAACAGACTCAGTCAGCATTACCACACACAGACAAATAAAGATAGAACCTTTGACCTTAGAGGGAGAAAAGAGAGAGAGCTGAACCACATAGATCTGATAGATATAGATCATAGACTGTTTATAGAATGGACAGAGTATGCCTCCTCGCTGGGTGAAGCCATTGAAAACATTGATTGAACGTATTGATCAGATCCATCAGACTCGTAATGTTTTCCTGCTCTCCAGAATGTTCCTCATCATAAGAACACGGAGGAGGTGTAAAGGTGTGTTCTTCAGGTAATAGAAGCTACAGATCAAAGTGACGACCTGCTCCCTGAAGCTCTTTCTCTTCTCCTCTGTTTGTGAACGACTGTCTGAAGAGCTTCTCCAGGAGGTTCCTCAGACACTCAGACTCAAATAGTCGGGTCATGAAGTGAGATTCTGTGACCATCCTCTGGCAAGGATGTTTTGACGAATGATTTGACCTCTATGGACCCTTTAGAAAAGATTTAGCCCCCAGGTCCCTCGCAAAAATCCCGGCATTTTTTGCTAGACAGCTAAATTCAAGATGGCGGCCGGCGCCATCTCTAAAAATTAACTTTTGATCTGGATGACCTAGAATCATGAATGAAGGCACTTTTCCATACAAGTCAAGCATGAGGATTCCAAAATGGGAATCCCATGGGAAAACACAAAACACAAACAGTCGTTTGGCAGGTGGATCTGCAGCTGTGGAACAGTCATCCAACAAAGAAGACTGAGATGGGATTTCTTCACTCTTTTGTTTTTTCTGTCTTTTTTGGCTTGTTACAGTTTATTAGAATTGAATAGGGTCAACCTACATGCTTCATGGACACATTTTCCAACCGGACCTTTATCCCAATCGACAGTTGTATAGACATGTCCAAACTTGTCAAGGCCACTCCATAACAGTGCCCTGTGTTTTATGTTTTCCCATCTCTGGGTTGACTTAATGGTATCTGTGGCTTCATTACACAGACTACCACACTGGAGAATACATGACTGTCTGTCTGTCCCTGTTGGTAAATTATTTTCTTACATATTCAAGCAGCCATGTATGCTACCTGCACACTGTCTTTACAGATCAAATGTGTAGCTCCTCTCACTGTGGGCTCAAAAAATTTTTGAAAATAGCCGATCTACAAGCTCACATGCCTCACAATACAAGGTATTACGGGCTTGTAGATCTGCTATTTTCACAATATCTATATGTGGAACAGAGTCAAAAAAATTGGGGGTTACCCAGTTCAAATATGATTGTTTTGGGGGTCAAGTCCTGAAAAGCTTGAGAATCACAGTATTGGATGGCAGCCATCTTGAATATCGCGGTCAAAACAAAGTTGTATGATTAAAACGATGTCAGATTTGGAATCCTCATGCTTGACTTGTATGGAAAAGTGCCTTCATTCATGATTCTAGGCCATCCAGATCAAAAGTTAATTTTTAGAGATGGCGCCGGCCGCCATCTTGAATTTAGCTGTCTAGCAAAAAATGCCAGGATTTTTGCGAGGGACCTGGGGGCTAAATCTTTTCTAAAGGGTCCATAGAGGTCAAATCAATCGTCAAAACATCCTTGCCAGAGGATGGTCACAGAATCTCACTTCGTGACCCGACTAAAAGTTCTGATGGGTCCAGAGGGTTCTTATCCAAGAAAACCCAACGCTCTTAGTGGAAAGTTTTCAGGCGTTTGAGGCTTTTTAACCATTTCCTGTCTGTCATAGAGTGAGCACGTCTTCGACTCGTCCCACTGTGAGGAGAAAAATCCTTAAATGGGCACCCGCATGTTCACACACTTTCAACTAACTCATGATTTTATGAGTGCTGTTCAAATAAAGTTATTAAAGTCTCTCAGCTGCAGGAGCCTCATTGGTCAACAGAGCTGTCAATCATGAAACCACACCCCCCGAATCCAATCAACCTGGACCTGAATTTGATGTCCCACCTGTTCACATGGAGGAGGAGGCGGGGTTTATGACAAGACAGACAGCAGGGGGAGCTCTAAAGGTGAGTGTGTGTGTGTGTGTGTGTGTGTTACCGATGCGGCTGTCCATCACGTAGGTCTCGATGATGGCGCTCTTCCTGCAGATGTCTTCAGCCATGGACGAACAGCTGACCTCCAGGTGTTTGACCTGACCGTGGAGAACAGGAAGTCAATCAGACCTAAAGACCCTTTCAAAGTAAAAGTCCTGCACTAAAAACAGCCTGATCTGCCGTGACTCTGTGACTCCTGACTGTCCTGGGACACTTCTTCATTATGGGCTGGTTCTGGTGACCCACTATCTGGGGACACTGAACTGGACCGCTCAGCTGTTGGACCTCGACACGTATTTGATGACGTGATGATTTGAAAGTTCTCGCAGTAACAGAGTTCCTGAGAGCGTCCAGTTGTGTTTCTCTCCAGAGTCTGAATCAGGATTACCATAAAGAGGACTCTGTGCTGGGTCAGCGGCTCCGGTCCACAGCAGAACTTTACAGAACATTAATAATTCATCTGAACATCCAAAACACAAACCTGACTCCAAAAACTAAAACTACTTTTCTCCTTGACTCGGAGCGTCTGGCCGAGCGTTAAGGACATCCAAGAGGAGGACGGACAAATCACGGCCATGTGATATGTGGTTGCCATGGTAACATAGGTCTCTCCTCACCTTCTCCTCCAGCATCCACTTCTCCTGCTGAACCTCGGCCAGTCTCTGGAATAACTCTCCCACCTCGTCGTCGGAGAGTTCAGCCGGACGCTGGGACTGAGGGCTGCCTCCTCCGGACTGATGGACACATGGAGACAAAAACACAGAGACTTAAAAGACCGTCAGGAGGACAGACAGACGGACGGACGGACGGACGGACAGACAGACAGACAGACAGACAGACAGACAGACAGACAGACAGACAGACAGACAGACAGACAGACAAAAACACAGAGACTAAAAAAACATCAGGACAGACAGACAGACAGCTGTCTTTCCGTTCCTTTGCTGATAGCCGGACTCCACAGCTGATCACAAGACTTCTATTTTTTCCGGAAGCCGGAGCATGCTGGATAAATTCAGCACAGTTTAACCCGTGCTGGAAAGGAAAATGTGAAAAATTCAAAATAAAACACTCCGTGTTTCAGGAGGATCGTATTTCACACCATGCAAACAGGCGGAGACGAACAAGTGAAATTTTTTTAGACGTCATTTCACCCCGATGACACCATGGATGAGGAGATGCTGATTCTAGAAGTCTAGAAGTAGATTTCCTCCTCTGGAAGGACACAATCTACTGCTTATATGTCTATGTGGCTGTCTTTATAGAGACAACTCATTGCGTGATTGATTGTGAATCCGCGGGTTCTTGTGAGTTCTTATGATTACCTCTGTCCATAATTCGCCACAAAATTCGCCTCACAAATGGATTTGGTAGGAACTGGCGGACGGCGAAAATCGCCGCTGTTCCGGCAATTTTCAGGATGCAGTGGAAATTGCAGCTGTCCCGTATTCTCGCAGCTCTAACCTCTAACCTCCCACAGGATCCGGAACGGCTTTGCCATCGGAGGAGAAGCTCTTGCCAGATTACCAATATTTCTCACGAGACTGGTTGAGATCTATAAATGAAGGTGTATATAAACATCCATATCCCACAACCCTGGCCACTCCTACTGGCAAGCTAAGAACAGTTTAATGTATTGACTTTATTTTATTTTGAAAATTAATGGATATTTTACTCCGTAACCACATACATCTTCCTCTACTGCTCGCGCTGCGCTGCACTGAATTGATGCGCCGTGCTGCAGTGTCCGGCAAAAATAGAAGCCTTGCGTATCTGATCCCACCGCAAGAGCTGATCCGCAATGGAGCCAAATGGCGGACAGATTCTGGGAAATCACACACATCGACTTTAATGCTTGTGTATATGAACCACCTGCCAGGCCAGATCCTGTGGGTTTTAGCTGTAACCCTGCTGTGTGTGTGTGTGTGCGTGTGTGTGTGTGTGCGTGTGTGTTTGAATCAAAACCTTTTAAGTTTCTCCTCATGAAGATGGTTCATCCTCGACTCTTCGTTGCCTTATGGGGCACAAACACAACCGGTCCTTGTTTTTTGTTTTTTTTTTAACTGGTGCAGTAAATAACAGAAGTAGATTCAGGACATTTCAGATTCTGGTATCAGAGTCCTGTGAACATCTGTCCTCATACAGACATGAACCAAGCTCACTTCGTGGAGGAAAGTGCCCTCGTTAAGGCTCGAGGTCCGACCTTTGAGCGCTGAGATCTGATCTGTTCATCCTGAAGTGGAGGTGGACTGTTTTGGACAAATCTGAGCGAGTGTCCTCCAGGCGTTCCTAAAATATCATCTTCACCAGAGCGGGAAGAACAGATGGACGGACTGCACAAACACAGCGCCTCAGGACTGAGCTGCAGGGCGCTCAGACCTGATGTGGCAGAAAAGAAACCCAGTTCTGGAGCTGAATCTGTGGTTCTACCTGAGCATCGATCTCCACAACAAGGAGGTTTCTTTAGGGAGGAGCAGAGATGAGGAGTCGGTCCCAGAGAGGGGGACGCATTTAGACTTTCTCAGGAGGCTTTCAAACAGATTCAGATCCTTCCTGATTGTCAGCGCACACTTCCTGCTGGAGATCTACTGAGTGTGAGCGTATGGACCAACCCACGGGACCAGAACCAGAAGGAAAGAGAGATGACCACGGAGACGAGGATGGAAACCTTTAAAATCAGCTGATCACTTCAAAGCTGCAGACTCACAGGTGTCTGATGGGAAATATCACAGCAGCAGGATGCCGCGCACGCGCGCACACACACACACACACATAGCACACACTCTGCTCCATCATATGATGCGGTTGCCCATGACGACCGTACTACCACAGTAAACTGACCCCACAGGACGAGATAGAAACACTCAGCTCCATGAACTCAAGCTAGCGGCTCTATTTACAGTGTTTCTATCAATAGACACACACACACTCTTACACACACACACACACACACACACACACACACACACACACACACACACACACTAACACAGTGATGAAACAGTAAAGAGGCTAAAAATAAAAGCGCCAGAGGATCTTTAAACCCTCCAGAGAAAACAAATGTAAAATCTAAAGGGGGGGGGGCAGAGGGATGATGGGATGTGTTGTCGTCACGGTAACAGCTGTCATAACTCGAAGGTCATACTATTTCACAAAGGTCGTGACCCCGAGAGAGAAAGTCACATGAGGGTGAGCGACGGATGGAGGGAAAACAGGAGTAAGTTTTTAGGACTGGTGTTGGAAACATTTACGAGGCTCCACCTACTTTGTTCTGATTGGTTGTCTGGGACTCCTTCATCATGTCTCTATAAGAGAAGGATGAGACAGAAGACGAGTCTCCAGTCTGCTGAGTCCGACTGGGACTGCTGATCTCTGACAGGACCAGCTCCTCCAGACCTGCAGAGATGGGGACCAACAGGAGACATCAGAACTTCTGTAGACACACGGCAAGACAAGGAGAAGGAGAGAGTAGGGAGAGGAGGAGGAGAGAGGAGAGGAAAAGAGAGGAAAGGAGGAGAGAGGAGGACCAACTGGGGACGTCAGAACCTTCTGAAGACAGACAACGAGGAGGAGGAGGAGAGAGGGGGAGGAGGGAGGAAGGAGAGAGGAAGGAGGAGAGAGGAGGACCAATAGGACACATCAGAACTTCTAAAGACACACAGAGGAGAAGGAGGAGGAGAGCAGGAAGAGAGGAGAGAGGAGCAGGAGAGAGGAGTGAGGAGGAGAGAGTAGAGAGGAGGACCAACAGGGCACATCAGAACTTCTAAAGACACACAGAGGAGAAGGAGGAGGAGAGCAGGAGGAGAGGAGAGAGGAGTGAGGAGGAGAGAGTAGAGAGGAGGAGAAGGAGGAGAGAGGAGCAAGAGAGAGGAGAGAAGGAGGAGAGAGGAGCAAAAGCGAGGAGAGAAAAGGAGGAGGAGAGAGGAGGAGGAGGAGAGAGGAGGAGAAGAGAGGAGAGAGGAGGAGGACCAACAGAGGACATCAGACCTTCTGAGAACATACGGCAAGAGGAGGAGGAGGAGCAGGAGGAGAGAGGAGAGAGGAGGAGCGAGGAGGAGAGAGTATCTGTGTGTAAAAGCAGAGGGACAGAATAAACAGGTTAGCTGATTATATTAAAGTTCTTAATGAGTAAAACCTGCTGACCAAAGAGGAGAGACATCAACCCTTTTTTTGTTGTTTAAAGGTATAAAAGCGTTTGAATGTTTTAAAAGGTTTTAAAGTGATCAAGTGTGTGAAATACTTATGTTGTGACATTGATGTTATTAATAAGTACTGTGATACCTGATGAACTCCTAATTACTGTCCCTGAGATAAAATATACAGTCTGTCCAATAAATCGAGTCACTTTAAAGTGTTGGACTGTCCGTTTAATGATGTGGACCATCCCTTTAATGCAGCTGATTGTCCCTTTAATGCAGTGAACCATTCCTTTAATTCAGCTGACCGTCCCTTAAATGCAGTGGACCGTCCCTTTAATGCAGGGAAACATCCCTTTAATATAGTTGGCTGTCCCTGTAATGCAGTGGACTGTCCCAATAAGGCAGCTGACCATGCCTTTTCATTCAACTGATTGTCCCTTTTATGCAGTGGACTGTCCCATAAAGGCAGCTTATCATCCCTTTTCATTTAGCTGATTGTCCCTTTAATGCAGTGGACCGTCCCTTTAATTCATCTGACTGTCCCCTTAATGCAGTGGATTGTGCAATGGGAAGTCCCTTGAATGCAGTGGACCATCCCTTTAATGCAGTGGCCTTTCCCTTTAAAGGAGTGGACTGCCCCTTTAATTCAGCTTACTGTTCCTTTAATTCAGCTGACCGTCCCTTTAATTCAGCTGACTGTCCCTTTAATGCAGTGAACCATCCCCTTCATGCAGTTGACCGTCCCTTTAATTAGGCCGACCATCCTTTTAATGCAGCGGACTGTCCCTTTAATGCAACTGACCTTCTCTTTAATACAGTAAACTGTCCCTTTAATTCAGCTGACTGTCCCTTTAATGCAGTAGACTGCCCCTTTAATGCAGCGGACTGTCCCTTTAATGCAGCTGACCGTCCCTTTAATACAGTAAACCGTCCCTTTAATTCAGCTGACTGTCCCTTTCATGCAGTGGACTGTCCCTTTAATTCAGCTGACTGTCCCCTTAATGCAGAGGACCGTCCCTTTAATGCAGTGGCCTGTCCCTTTAATGCAGTGGCCTTTCCCTTTACTGCAGGTGTTGTGAGCGGGCAGAGAGATAAGTAGGCTACTTTAAAATGTCTGATTCTCAGGTTTGTGCAGAACTTTTTAAACATTCATTAGAGCTCATAGATTATACATGAAGACCAGGACTGCCCTGCATTGCTCTGAGTGTGTGTGTGTGTGTGTGTGTGTGTGTGTGTGTGTGTGTGTGTGTGTGTGTGTGTGTGTGTGTGTGTGTGTGTGTGTGTGTGAGAGAAAGATAGAGAGAGAGAGTGAGAGAGAGAAAGAGAGAGTAAAGCAACAGTCCAGGAGAGGAGCAGAGAGAACAATCTGCACAGAAAGTTCAAAAACAAAGACAGACCAGCAAACAGCACAGGGATGTGTACATGTTCGTGTTGTATCTGTGTGTGTTTGTGTTTCGCCAGTAGACGCCAGTGTGTCCACCTCAGCTCTGGGAATCAGAACGCTGCATTAAATATTGAGCAGCAGGTTCCGGTCTGAGCCAGAACCTCTTGACGCTGGGTGAGCACGCCGACAATTATCGGACCCATCGGTCAAGTTACAATCACATCCCACTGCCACTTAGGACACACACACACACACACACACACACAGGCTGGCAGGGCACCGTGGACTCTTCTTTCTGGCAGGTTTAAAGGGCGATGTCGCCCGTTTAGAGGATTTAAATACTCATGCTGTTGGTTTTATCTTCTCAGGTTCCTCTTCACTGGCATCAAGAAACCTTCAACAAACTGCAGAAAATTTGCAGAAACCAGATCTGTACTGTCACCTACTGCTCTGTTGGGAGATATTTTAAGCCTGGAGTCTGAGGACCTGCTGCCAATTTTGTTTTGGTTACAGAAATCTAAAAAAATCAGAATTATAAACGAACAGAGTCTGGAGTTTTCAGGGTTCAAACGATGCAGAATCTGTGGATTTTACAGCCTGATTATACTTCTGTGTTCAAAGCAGACGGAGGACACAAACACACATGCACAGCGTAAAATGATCCAGTTCATTTCCATTTATCGTCCTGATTGATTGAATTATTGATTATCAGCCCAGGCCTGGATCTTAGTCTCAGCTGTTTGAGGTCAGACTCAGGGTCTGCTGCTGAGCTCTGCCCCCCTGACTGAGGTGTTCACGGACAGTCATATTCTTGGACTTGGACCCTCACAGACCTTCGCAGGTGTGCTTCAGGTGTGTCTGTACCTGTCCTGGTCTTGCTGTTGGTCAGGATCTCCTGGAGTCTCTCCTGCAGCTTGTCGGCTCGCTTTCTCTCCAGCTGCAGCTGCCGCTTCAGGTCCTTCAGCTGCGCGCACGCACACACACACAAACACACACACACAGCAGTCAGGGATTTACTTTCTAATTATTCTTTTCCATGCTCCACTGCTCTTAAATTACTCTGCTGAATATATTCACTCTCTCATCTCTTTTCAAACCCTTCAAACCCAATCCGTCTGAATTCTCTGAAATAATTGGACGATCATGAACTCACCGCTGCACTTCCCTTCTTCTCCAGAATCCTCTGTCCATCCACTGTGTCCTTTATTTCCTGCAGAGACAGAGACGTTAACAGGAAGAGAAAAAAGCAAAAAAATAAAACCGTCTTTTAGAGCTCCTCCATACCTGTGGGTCTTATACCTGTTCTACATGAGTTTAGCTAAAGTGGACAGGTGTAGTCAGTTGCAGTGAACTCATTCATATTTCAGGTGAACGTGAATGTTTCGTTCTTTATTTGCGTATGATCGCGTTGATGTTAAACACGCTCATTCTGGCGTCTGTAAGCGGCATTTTAAACTCTGTTAACAAGTGTGTGAGATGTCCAGAACCTTCCAGGTGAAACCCCAGCTAAAACACACCGTAAACAGGCCTTCATATTTAGGGGAAAGTCACCCAATCTGGCAACTGCAAGTAGCCTGTCTGTTGCTCAGATAAATACATCAGTCGTCATGATTTCAGTAAACATGATGGATGAGGGAGGTCGCACTAGCTGCCCGAAGCACACAAACTCGTATGAGCATTTATTGTTGATCGTTATTTCCAGTATTCGTTCTGGTTCCTTTTTAGTCTGACTGAAATAGAATTTGATGTTAATTGTTTCCAGGTTGGTTTGGAAAAGTACAGAAATAAAAAACACCTTAAGGACCACAGTCCTGTTATAATCCTAATAAAGAGTCAACCAACCAACCAGCAGGTTTTCTTCATGTTTATGAAAATATACTCTAGAGATGAATGTTCCTACTGGTTAGGACTGAACTTTAGGGAAACACCAGTATTCTGAGGACTGTCCTCTCTATTGTAAACCTGGTTGGATTAGGATTCAAAAATAAATATGAAGATTAATCTGATGCAGTTTCAGTGTTAAATTGGCTAAAATAATCGCTGCTCTGTAAAAAATCGACATATAAAAGCTTAAAGCAAAGTTTTGGAGAAAAAAACAAAACAACTAAATTAATTCATTTTTGGGAACCACGAACTTAAATTCAAGATGTGGAATTATGAACAATAAACTGAACAAGTTTATTTTAAAATGTGTTAACTGAACTAGTTCAGGTAGAAAGTGAACTTCCCCAACACTGGTCAGGTGAAGTCAGGTGTAGTCACATGTAGTTGGGTAAACTCAGGTGTTCTGAGGTGTTACCTGTTTAAGTTTGGCGATGGTGTCGTTGTGTTCCTCCTTCTGTTTCTCCAGCTCCAACAGCTGCTGCTTTACTGCCTCCATCTGTGACTGCTTCTCCTGCAGAACACACAGACACAGATACAGACACACAGACACATTAGACTTTTATTTTGAAAATGGTCCCACTGTACAGTCTCTGGTTTTGTCAAAATCTATCAGACCAGAACTGAACCAATTTTTACACCAGACCAAGAGGCTGCCCGTCCCTCTGAGACATAAAAAGCCCCTTTAAGAAACTAAGAAACTTCCTTCTGTCTGTGGTAAAAATTCCTGATACCACCCCCCCCGTAAATCCAGCCGATTTAAGGATTAATGTGAAAAAAAAAGAGCCTCCTAATTCTCCTTTTATCTCTAATCTGCTGCTAATTAATTTGACTGAAATCTTCATGAAGAGGAAAAACAGGCTGAAAACGCCCACCTGACCCACCGAGGGAAACACACGCACGCACGCACACACACACACACACACACACACACACAGAGTCTCTGGTTTTAAGGACACGGCTTCAGTCCGCTCAGCAAGGAAACACAATGAATTTGACTGTTTGAGATTTTCACTTCAGTCACAGAAACAGCTGATTCTGGTTCTGGTTCTAATACTGAACCAGATCACAGACCCGCCTCTCTGAGCCTTTCAACCAAAGGTTCATGTGATCACCTTTAAATGACACGTAAGCACTGAAACTCAAGTCTGAACACTGAGCGCACCTGCCAAGAGGACGAGCCGCTAATTAGACTTCCTCCTTCATCATTAATTAACTTTTCCTATTAAGTTTCCTCTTCCTGCTCTTAGATAACACGCACACACACATACACAGTCTCTGGAGTCCTTCAGTCTCCTCTCAGGACCCCACAGTCAGCCCTGTAATCTGATTGGCTGAGAGGTCTTGTAACTTTGACATTTCCTATGATGCTCAGCGGCTGAATTTGATTGGTTGGTTATCAGACTGACGATAAAAAGAGTTCTTCCTGTTTGGAGTGTCAGGAGGTCCACTTTAGGATCAGGTTTTCTTTATTTATTTTTCAGGTTAAAACTGGAAACACAGATTTACACAGATCTCCCCCTGCTGGACACCAAGCATCACTGCATCCTCCCCTCTTTCCTACTTTCCTTCTTTCCCTTTGTTCATTCCTCCCTCCCTTCATTCCTTCCTCCCTCCCATCTTGACTTCCTTCCTACCTCCCCTTTTCCTTTCTTCCTTCCTGCTTTTCCTCCATCTTTCCTTCCTGCCCCCCCTCCCTTTGTTTAATCCCTCCTATCTTCCTCCCTTCTTTCTTCCCCCCAACTTCCTTCCTTCTTTCTTTCCTTTGTTCCTTCCTTTCTCCCTCCTTTCTTTCCTTCCTCACTCCTTTCTTTTCTTCCTTCCTTCCTTCCTCCCTCCCATCCATCCTCCCCCTTCCTTCTTTCATTCCTTTCTTCCGCCCTCCCTCACTTCCTTCTTTCCTTCCATTCTTCCTCCCTTACTTCCTTCTTTCCTTCCATTCTTCCTCCCTCCCTTCCTTTCTTCCTCCCTCCCTCTTTTGTTCTCCCTCCCTCCTTTTCTTCCTCTCTAACTTCCTTCCTTCTTTCCTTCCTTTCTACCTCCCTCCCTCACTTACTTCCTTTCCCCTCCCTTCCCTTCTCCCTCTCTCCCTTCTTTCTTTCCTCCCTTCATCCCTCTTCTTCCCTCCCTCCTTTCCTTCCTCCCTTACTTCCTTCTTTCCATTCTTTCTTCCTTCCTCCCTCCCTCCTTTCCTTCCTCCCTTCCTCCCTTCCTTCCTCCCTCACTTCCTTCTTTCCATTCTTTTTTTCGCCCTTCCTTCCTCCCTCCTTACCTCCCTCCCACCCTCCCTTCCTTCCTTCCTTCCTTCCTTCGTCCCTCCCTCCTGTCCTTCCTTCCTTTCTACCTCCCTCCCTTACGTCCTTCCTTCCTCCTTTCCTCCCTTCAGGTGTCTGTGTGTGTGGTTCTGAGTGAAGCACCTGGCGCTCAGAGTAAGTCAACACCTGGACCATCACTCAGGTAACCTCACCTGTGACCTCACCTGTGACAGGTGTGTTCAGAGGGAGGCGGTCCACACACTCACGCTCAGCCATCCATCAACCATGTGTTCTCCCAGGAGAAGCTGAACCTCTTACATAACTTCAGACACACTTTTCAAGTGTTTCAGTACCAAAACCAGAACCAGAGGAACTGGATCGATCCTCTGGGTAAAAAAGGAGCCCAGCTCTCGCTCTCTCTGAGAAGAACCGTGTAGGAATGATCGAGAGTCCAACTTTGAAAGTCCAACTTTGAAAGTCCGGTCCAAACTCTCAGATTTATATTTACACGAAAGGTTTCAAACGGCCAGAAAACTTCCAGAAACTTTTCACGGGAAGTTAAACTGAGGAATTTTGGAAATGATCCAGATTGGAAACTTTCATGGAAATAATGGGAGTTATGGAAATTTATGGGAATTCACTGTAAATTGGGGTTAATTTAAACAAACTGTATCATATCCAAACATAAATACAAATATTCTTCCTTCAACATCAGATGGTGAACGTGGCATTTTTCTATAGAATAAAATAACAAAAAATCTTGTAAAAACACTAATGCAATGGCATGAACAGAAATATAGTTGGCTAAACAACTGGAATGGTCTTCCAAATATTTGATTATTGATGTATAAATGATTGTTTGGTTACAGCAAACCATCTGTCAGGAGTCAGAAGAAACAGCATCACATTTGAAGTAGCTACCAAAAAATAACTTACATTTAGCACCTATTTTTATTTAATTTTTACAAGTTAAATATTAATACTATTATAGATCAAATATATTTACCCCATAATATCATCCAAACTTACTTGACTTTATAGTCTGTGGGTTCAAATGTCTTGTGCTTTAGGCTCTAAAGAGTGGCCTCCAGGGTTCAAGAAATCATCTGTGAATCATGTGATTGAGGAATGCACAGTGCATGTAGGGGCTGTGGCCTCAATATCCCTGCAGTAAGCAGTGTGATCATGTGATTGAGGAGTGGACTTGCATTAAATCTGGTAGTTTTAGGTGATAATGTTATTCTTGTTCTGTTGGATCTAACTGCAGCTTTTGACACAGTGGACCACAATACTCTAGTGGCTCTGCTACCCCACCTTATAGGTATCTGTGGTACTGCACTGGAGTGGTTCAAGTCATATTTGGCTGACAGAACAACGAGTGTGAGCCTTGGGCTGTGTCCCATTTCAGAGACCGCACCGTCGAACGGCGCATTTGAAGCGTGCATGATGTCATCAAGCAGCGCGAACGGTGTCCCATTTGGCACGAAATGCTAAGAAATGCTAAGCGCGCTTAGCATTTTTCAAGCGTGCATTTATGCACGCTTTCGTGCCGTTGGTATCCCAGAATTCTTTGCGTGCCGCTGCACAGCTGAGCATTTCAGGTGAGAGGCTGGACTCGCTTGGAGACACAGCGCGTCTTCAAAGAAAATACAAGCAATCCAAAAACAGCAGACAGTCAGCTCAGGCTGTACGAGCACATGATCTCTGAACTCACTAAAATCTGCAAACCAAACATTATAGATTTAGAGACGAACTGATCCGCTGTGTTACAACTATCAAAAACATTAGAAATAAGAAAGCTGACAAAACTACAGCAGAGTATCAGGACAACATTGAGGGTTTCTTTTCTTTTAAGATTTAGAGATTAAAGTTGTAAATTTAGGAGAATAAAGTAAATAAAGTCATAAAGCTGCTTTTGTGGAGGGGGAAATGACTGAAGCTGGTCATCTGCAGGGTTATCGGTGGATGTATCAGCGGGTCATTCAGAGAGATTTTGTGGTTTCTGAAGAAACAATCAAACTGATGATAATCAACATTTGTGATCCAGAGTAGTGCTGGGCGATATGGAAAAAAATGTATATCACGATATGGATCATTTTATATCACGATAACGATATATATCACGATATAGCTATGGTATGCTTTCAGTTCTATGAAAAATTTAAGTGTATACAGCTGCACTAGTACAGTACCAGTACAAGACCAGCACTTAAAACTAGAAAAATGAATAAATAAATATGTGGCTGACGTGCGTTATGCACTCCATAATAATAATAATAATAATAATAAATTTAATTTGTAATGCACTTTACATTTACAAAAAATCTCAAAGTGCTACAGTACACAGTAAAAAAAGAGCAGCAACAATAAAAAAAGCAATAGAATGACAGTCACAGATTGGCATAAAAAAGAATTTTAAAAAAATAAAATATATAGAGTTGCAATGTAAGAGGCAAGGTAGTAAAAGCATAAAGCATAGAGGAAAACTAACCAAAGGCTTTATTAAAAAGGTAGGTCTTTAGGGCTCTTTTGAAGAGGTTGTTCACACTGCTAGATGTTTCTCCTCCAAAGCTGCTCTCTGCCTCCATCATTGTTTACTTTACTCTTGAAGCACGTAGCAAGACCCGAGCATGAATCCGAGCGCTTTATTCGCCTATCAGGGGCAGACAGGTAAGGTGATTTGATTCGCCACGACTCCAGAAATGATTGAAAAACTACAGAATGTCACAAAATTACGTTTTCCCGCTCCTGGCTCGAAGGGTACAAATGCGCAGCCACGCTCCCAGCTGACAGGAAGTCAAACCGCTGTTGTAGTTCTTTTGTGTTGCTAGGGCGGTCAAGAGTGTTGGCTCTCACTGAGAGATGACTACAAAAATGGACGCACCTGTTCATCTGGTTGTTAAACACGGCTGAAAATGATCATCTATTAATGTTGTTCCCGCTCCTGCCCACTCCCGTTGCTTTTTTTCCCGTCCCGTCTCGATCAAGGGATTAATAAAAAAATGACTCCTATCCCGTGGGATTCCCGCGGGAATCACGTGACCCACGGGAATTCCCGAAAAAAGTCATCCTCTACAGGGAAGGTCCCGGAGCAGATGAAACAGGTGCCGGAGCGGCTGAAATAGGTCCCAGATCCGATCAAAAGAGGTCCCGGATCGCGCTCCGACTTGCTCTGGCACAAATTAAGCACTGCTTACAATGATCCCCTCACATGTGTAACCCAGGTAACCCGCAACGGCGGGAGACGCTGGACATAAAGAGGGCACGTAAAGCGGCGTCATGTCGCAAAATCGAAAGAGAAATGCAAGCCCACATGTCAACGCATCCTTTTCTTTGTAAGAAAATATTGTTTTCTATCCCGTTCGACACCAAATACACTTACTGAATGTGCAATTATTGTTGTTGTTACTATGAATCATCTGATGGCACAAGCCCTATGGATTAAATACAGCCTATCGCCCGAAACGATAAAAATAAAAATGGCACGATAGACATTTTCTATCGTGCCAACGATATCTATCGTCCTATCGCCCAGCACTAATCCAGAGGGAGTCGAGCTCAGACGAGCACCACGTCTCTGACACCGGCCGTAGCCTACACCTGCAGAGACACCAATACCTTATTATTGCATATGGATTCATATAAATTAAAGCTCAATGTCATTCACGGATATTTACGGCTGCATTGACAGATATATCCTCAGCATATCCATTTCTGCCTCCACAAAAGCAGCGATTTCCTTCAAGTACAGCAGTTTTTTTTCCCGTGGAAAAGACATATTTCTCATATATTCTTTTTTTTAAGTCTTTATACTTATGACAATGTGATGCTGATGTGCCAAAGGATGAAGTATCTCCTTGTTTGTGAAACATATACTGAAGCACAGTTCCTTCAAATGCTTCATGGCCCTAATTTTAACAAGTCTCCTCTGAAATAACAGCTGAACTTACGACTTTATTCTCATAAATTAATGACTTTATTCTCGTAAATTCACGACTGAAATCTCAAAGTCTTTAAAAAAAATTCTCAATACGGTCCTCATACTCCTTCATACAAAACAATCATTGGATGAATTTTGTGGGAATGATCTGTGCTTGTATGTATCTACTATTTTGTGTCTGTTCAAGGTCGCACAAATAAAGCGCGCTTATCCTGATGCGGTCTCTGAAATGAGACACAGCCTTGAAGATTCAGTGTCCAGCTCTGCTCCACTGCTGTATGGGGTTCCACAAGAGTCCATTTTAGGGCCCCTGCTCTTTTCTTTGTATTTACTGCCCCTGGGCTCCACCCAAAGAAGACATAGCATTTCTTTTTATTGTTATGGTGATGACAGTCAAATATATATGCCACTTAACAGGAAAAATGAGTTTTTAAATCTACTTAATTGCTTGGATTTTACACAACACGTCACACAGCCGACTCACAACAAAGGACACACCTTGGATCTAGTCCTCAGCTATGGGCTGTCAGCCAGTGTGTGCTCTGTTGTTGACCTGGCTGTGTCAGACCATTATTGTGTGTTTTTGTCTGCGTTGATTTGTGTATTTATGTACAGCAATTTGTTCAGCTGTGGTTGATAGTGCTTTACAAATAAATTTGAGTTGAGTAGCCAAGATAATGCTACAATACATTTTCACCAACTAACTTTCAGTTCCCTGTTTAGGACCAACCTTCAATTTTGTACATTTTAGATTTATTCACGTTAATTCCCGTGGAAAGTTTCCAACTTTGAAAATTGATGAAATTTTCCAGCCCTATCGCAGACTCATTCAGACCCTGCTGGATGATGATGAGGACCAGAGCCCCCCTCAGGTCCCCCCTTCAGGGTCCATTTCTCCTTTGCTGTTGTTCATCTTTCCTTCAATCATTAAGACGCCGGAGTCTGATCAAACTGTGACGTTTGGCTCCCGTTGATCGTTCAGTGAATGAAAAGAGGCGTCTTTTCTTCAGAGACACACGAGTGGAGCATGGAGCAGAGTGGTGGCGTTCGCAGCAGAGAAAGTTTCTAAACGAGGACGGAGAGACTTTAGAGAGCCTAAATTTACGAGGGGACAGTTCCTAGAATAAGCTGCAGAGATATATCCATGTGTACTTGTGAAGTCCTCCTCACTCCTCCTCCAACACGGCGTCTGAAGGTAAACAAACCTTTCCTCTGCAGAGGATGAGTCATGTGGTCAAACAGCAGAGGAAGAACCGCAACAAGCCAATCAATCAGGGCGCTGCAGAGGAACGCTCGCTTTAACGCAGACTCCTCCGCTCTGATCGGCTCTTTAACACCCTTTGACCTGTCTGTGTTACCATGAAAACGGCTATGCTTTAATTAGAAACACACGTTCAGTTAGAGCCGGACCCCCGATCTGATGCTGACACACACAATACACACAATACACACACCTACACTGACTGCAAGTATAAACAAACACCCACACTCCTGTATTTATATTTACAAAGACACCTGTTCTCCAGGACCACGTGGATCTGTGTGTGTGTGTGAGTGTGTGTGTGAGTGTGTGTGTCAGTGCTTACCTCTAACTGAAGTGTGTGCTCTTTCTGCAGGCGCTCCAACTCCTCCTGATGTTCCAGAGACTTTTTCTCGATGTTCTCCTGCAGAGAGATCAATAACCACTGTCAGAGAGACCTGAAGATGTCCTCCTCCTCCTCCTCCTCCTTTATTCCACCTGTTGGAGTATTTCTAAACTTCATAGTTTAGTTTTTTACTCTAAATGACGAACACCTAACCAAAGTTTCTGAATGTCTGCAGCTTTATCCTCCAGTGTCCACACAAACTTCTGCTTTTTTTTCCTTTCTCTCGAGTTTCAGGCCTAAAAAAGTTAAAATCTGGGAAACAACAAAGTGAACGAGACTGGGAAAAATCCTGCACTATATCTGTCAAAGAGATCCCAAATTCATGTATTTAGGAGCCATACCTGAGAAGGTAATAGAACAAGGAGATGTTTATCTATTTAAGGTCTTGATTATTGCATGCAAAAAGGCTATCGCAGGGAACTGGATGAAAACCGATCACCCGCTACTGTGAAAGTGGATGGACATTATGGGCGAAATTTATACCATGGAAAGTCTACCTTACCACTTGAGGCTACCTTTCATCAAAAATGGAGGAAATGGACAGCGTTTAAGGAGCTTGAAGCTTAATAAACAGACTATGTGGACCTCTGTTTACCACTTGCAAAATAAGGACTAAGAACTGCCCCCTGTTCCTTTGTTCCCTTTTTCTTTTCTTGTTTTTTTCCTCTCTCTTTATTTTTGAGAAAAAAAAGAAAAAATGGTTGTAAAGAAATAATTGTCTCGAACCATGCTATACTGAAAAATAAAGTTAAAAAAAATTAAATCTGTGACAGGTGTCGATGGTTCAGAAAATCCGTCCAGTAGAGATGTAGATCTCCACCACTGAGGCCGATTCGATACGCTGCCACCAATAGTGAGCATTAACGATACACTGAAGTTCCCATCGATACGATACAATTCAAAAATGATTTAATAACGATATGACTTCATTATTAAAGGATTTGCTCTACTCTCTGTATTAATTTTTAATATTTATGTCGTTTTTTATGAAGCAAATCAATAAATCATATTTTTACAAAGACATGATTCAGTCTGTACAGACAGAGCATTTACTTTTATTCATCCTCCTTCCTTAATATTTCCTCCTCACTCCTCCCGACCCGTTTTCCCCCCCTTGCCTCCTTCTTCCCTTGTTTTTCCTCCTCACTCCTCCTTCCTTGATTTCCTCCCTTGTCTCTTCCTTCCTTGTTTTTCCCCCCTTGTCTCCTCCCCCCTCGTGGTTTCCTCCTCACTCCTCCTCCCTTGATTTTTCCCCCTCGTCTTTGTCCTTGTTTCCCCCCTCGTCTCCTCCTCCCTCATTGTTTCCTCCTCACTCCTCCTCCCTCCTTTTTCCTCCTCACTCCTCCTCCCCCCTTTTTTTTCTTCTTTGTCTCCTCATTCATTGTTACCCCCCCTTGTCTCCCCCTCCCTCGTTGTTTCCTCCTCACTTTTCCTCCCTTGTTGTGCCCCCCCATCTCCTCCTCCCTCATTGTTTCCTTCTGACTCCTCCTGCCTCCTTTTCCCCCCTCACTCCTTCTCCCTTGTTTTCCCCCCTCATCTCCTCCTCCCTTGCGTTTCCTCCTCACTTCTTCTCCCTCTTTTTTCCCCCTCACTCCTTCTCCCCCCTCATCTCCTCCTCCCTTGTGTTTCCTCCTCACTTCTTCTCCCTCTTTTTTCCTCCTCACTCCTCCTTCCTTGATTTCCCCCCTTGTCTCTTCCTTCCTTGTTTTTCCCCCCTTGTCTCCTCCCCCTCGTGGTTTCCTCCTCACTCCTGCTCCCTTGATTTTTCCCCCTCGTCTTTGTCCTTGTTTCCCCCCTCGTCTCCTCCTCCCTCATTGTTTCCTCCTCACTCCTCCTCACTCCTTTTTCCTCCTCACTCCTCCTCCCCCTTTTTTTCTTCTTTGTCTCCTCATTCATTGTTACCCCCCGTTGTCTCCCCCCCCTCGTTGTTTCCGCCTCACTTTTCCTCCCTTGTTGTGCCCCCACCATCTCCTCCTCCCTCACTGTTTCCTTCTCACTCCTCCTGCCTCCTTTTTCCCCCTCACTCCTTCTCCCTTGTTTTCCCCCCTCATCTCGTCCTCCCTTGTGTTTCCTCCTCACTCCTTCTCCCTCGTTGACCCCCCCCCCCATGTCCTCCTTCCTCATTGTTTCCCTCTCACTCCTCCTCCCTTGTTTATGGAGCAAATAAATAAATCGTATCTTATAAAACACATGATTTAGTCAGGATTTAGGACAGGGAATAGATACTAGAACATGAAATCGATTTAAAAATGAGGTTTACCAGAGCAGACAGGCGAGAAGAGACGCACCGCAAATTCACCCCTAAATTATATCGACGCTTCTTGAATCTGCCGGTGCAGTCGCATAGCAAATGTTTGTACCGCCGATATGAATCAGTGAATCTTGATATCCCTATTGCCCAGGTGTTGAAAATCCTGACAGGTGTATGAGTCTGGATTTAAAGATGTCAGAGGGTCGGGGTCCTGTGAGGACCACCACACCTTTAGCAGTAAAATGGTTCGTTTCTTCTCACAGCGCCCTCTTCTGGGTGAAGCCGGCTGAAACACCTCTGTGTTAGAGATCCCTTAGACCGTTAGTACGTCACAGAAACACCTGACAGGTGCGCCAGTCCCTCCAGAGTTTCTGATTGGACGATACCTCACCTGCTGAAAACGAGGATATTAAACGTGTCTGTGAGGGTGACTGACCTCGGCTTCCTTCAGCCTCCTCTCGAACCATCCTTTGGTCCCCTCCATGGACAGAACCTGAGCCTGCAGCTCCTCCACCCGCTGCTGGAGACCCTCCAACTCCTTCGTTCGAGCCTGACGCAGACGGAAAAACAAGGTCACATAACCGAAGAGTTCTTCTTCAGACTCAGAGTTTCAGTCATTGTCAACTTTTTCACACAAAATCGTTTCCCCCCCTCATCTCCTCCTTCCTTGTTTCCCCCCCCCTCTTCTCCTTCTTCCCTTGTTTTTCTCCTCTCACTCCTCCTCCCTCATCTCCTCCTCCCTTTTTGTTTCCTCCTTACTCCTCCTTCCCTGTTTCCCTCCTCATCTCCTCCTCCCTTGTTGTTTCCTCCTCCCTCCTCCCCCCTCATTTTCCTCCCTCTTCTTCTTCCCTTGTTTTTCCTCCTCACTCCTTCGTCCTTGTTTCCCCCCTTTTCTCCTCCTTCCTTGCCCCCCCATCTCCTCCTCCCTCATTGTTTCCTTCTCACTCCTCCTCCCTTGTTTACCCTCTCGCCTCCTCCCCCCTTGTTTTTCCTCCTTGTTTCCTCCTCCCTCGTTGTGTCCTCCTCACTCCCCCTCCCTCCTTTTTTCTTCCTTGTCTCCTCCTCCCTCGTTGTTTCCTCCTCACTCCTCGTTCCTCCTTTTTTCCTCCTTATCTCCCCCTGCCTTGTTGTTTCCTCCTCACACCTCCTCTCTCCCTCTTCTCTTCCTTCCTCCTTTTCGCCCCTCACCTCCTCCTTCCTCATTGTTTCCTCCTCACTCCTCCTTTTCCCCTCCTCTCATATTCACCTTCTCGTCCCTGAGCTGCTGTCGGATCTCCTCCTCAGAGCGGTTCTTGTCCTCATGGAGTCCGCGGAGCTCCTTCTCGTATCGAGCCCTCACCCCGAGAACCTGAGGGGGTAAGGAAAGGAGATAAGGAAAGGAAACAAAAAACACCAAAAGAGTCAGACGTGGATTTTCAGACATCAGAGGAGGTGAAATAAGGAGACGTTATGACAAGGAGGAGAAAGAGGAGGAAATGATAATTAAAAAACTAATCTTTTAGGTTTAAAAAAAGAGAAACTGTCTGAAAACCTGAGCAGATCTAACCCTGCAGTCTTGTTTCTCATGTCTCACCTCCTTCTCATGCTGCAGTTTGAGGTCCGATAGCGCCTCCTTGTGGTCGGACTTCTCCTGGTTCAGCTGGATGGCCATATCATCCAACATGGCCTTCCTCTTCTCTGCAGTCTGCACAGAAACCAATCAAACATGGACCACAGGGTTTGTGGGTTTGTGTGTGTGTGTGTGTGTGTGTGTGTGTGTGTGTGTGTGTGTGTGTGTGTGTGTGTGTGTGTGTGTGTGTGTGTGTGTGTGCGCACGGACCTTCTTGGCCTCGTCCAGCTCTCTCAGCAACTTCTCCTTCTCTTGTCCTTCCTCCGTCAGCTGCTCCAACAACTTCCTGTTTGCAAAGCTGGACTCCTGAAGAAGGAACAGAGAGGAGGTCAGAGGGAAGGAGGTGAAGCGGGAACTTCTGCAGAACTTCCTCCACGCCAAAGACAGGCCGCCACTTTTAGACGGGTGGTTTTCAAACATGGAGGAGGTTCCCTTCTTCACTGTGTTCCCAGAGAAACAACCACAGTCTGGATGACATGTTTGTTTTGTTTGACTTTATGATGACGAAGCTACGGTAAATCCTGAAACCTAAATTTCTGCAGAGCTGCGATGGTGCAGAAACACAAAAACCTGACAAATGCACGTTTGTTGATATGTTTACATGAACGGATCTATCTCTGAGGTGAAAACATTTCAGCCGAACTCATTAGACGGGGGAGAAGGTGGACATGAAGATAAAAAAGGTCCTGATGGTGCAAACTTTAAAACAACAACAATAACTACTGACTGCATTTGTACAGGGATACTGTGGGGATGTTTCTGTGGTCCAGACTGAGCCCGGTTTAACTAAGTACTGCCTTTTACTGTCAGCTGTTTGCACGGACATGACGGTTTCTTAGCACCATCATCATCCACACACCTTCTCATAAGTGAGGGACATGACGCGACTACAGCCAGCACAGGCCTCAACAGTGCGACCGTTTCACTCTCATTTGTGACTAAAAATAGACGTGTGTGAATTGTAAAATGTATTTAGGGTCACATGTGTGCATAGAAAAAACTCAACAAATGTTTTTTCCTGTAAATACGGCGGTGAAGTTAGTTTCAGGTTGGATATTTGACGAGCTTTCACTGAGGATCTACCGGTGTCTTCTCACTCTCTATAACCGGGAATAACAACAGCAGCGCGGTTAAATCTACTCGACACCCTCACTGTCAATGTTGGGTGTTGAATAAGGGACCGTCAATAAATTATTTTTGCAATTAGGATTTATTTATTTCTGTATAATATGACCAAAAGGGTGTAGGCAGAAGCAATGCTTATAAAGACCTCCGCCTTAAACAGAGTTCATTATACAGATACTCTCTTCATACAATTATCAACACTTCGATATATATTCACTCTTCAACTCCGATAGAGTCATGAACATGCTTTACATTTTACATTCATAATCAGACATCATTTTCTCTACAATACTGAGAAATAGCATATTCTTGTAAAGTCTCTTAAAGTTTACCAGAGTTCTACATTTTCTCATTTATACCGGACAGTCCTTTTACAGACACACAAAAATTTTTGCCATTTGTTCGCGCTTTCGGTTTCTGAAATAATCCACAGCCTCTTCGGTTGTAATTAGAGTCCCTCAGTTTTAACAGGTTCTGGACATGTTGTAGGGTTAGGTTTTTGTCTTTGTACATGATTTTTTTTTGTGATTCATTCAGATCATTGGACTCAGTCTGCCCCCATCCGGCTGTTAAGCGTGACGTCATTTTGTGAGCGGAGCGGCTTCATGGTCCATGGGGAGTCAGCCTCCATTCACTCTCCATTCAAAACAACAATGGCGGAACCCGTGAATCTCTTTAAAATAACCTCCTTTTTCAGAAGGGAACCACTCAGAGTTAAAAAGGGACTTAAAGCTTTCAACTCGGATAGAGTTATTAACGTAAATTTTAGCGATGGCGAGATGAAGCCTCATGAAGCATCGAAGCTTTCCATCCAATTACTCACCTCCTGGGCCGAAGCTTCATGATCGTGCTTCATTTGCTCTATTGCGCCATCAAGTGGACAATAAATGTGAAACGATAAACCAAAGACACCCCGAGGCTTTGGTGCGCGAAGCTTTGAATTCAATGAATGAATGGATGTGATGCCGTGTGTTTGTGATACAATCATAGACTGTATACAGTCTATGGATACAATACAGAAATGATGAAGTTATTTTGTTGTCTTTGTTGTTGGGAGGAAATCTGTAGAATGATAGTTTAGTCGCTGTTTTTGTCTCTGATCAGTTTAAGCAGCAAGGGACATAGCACTGAGGCATTATAACAACAACGCCGCTGGACCCGGAAGTGGAAAAAGAGAACGCGGCTACGTCACGGCTTAACAGCCGGATAGGAAGACATTTTCAGGACACGCTGCCGACACACTACTATCAAGATCCTCAGAGACTCCAGCCACCCCAGTCATCACCTGTTCTCTCTGCTACCCTCAGGGAGGCGCTATAGGGCACTCAGAGCCCGCACCTTTAGACTCAAAAACAGTTTCTTTCACAGAGCCATAACTGAACTTAATGTCAAGCCAATAAATGCAATAATGTGACCCTTTATTCATTCTATTCATGTATTTATTTATTTATTTATTAACAGTGCAATATGGGACTAAGTGCAATTACTCCTCATTTAACAGTGCAATATGGGTCCACGTATGCAGCATAACTACAGTAACACGACGGTCAATGTTGATCAACGTCTTTATGTTTTAAATATGTCTTTTAACATGGATGAATGCTGTCATATGTATGCATTGTTGTACTTGTTTTTGTTCTTTTTGCATTCAGGATGGCACAATTAAATTTTGTTGCTTTGTGCAATGACAAATAAAGTCTATTCTGTTCTATTCTATTCATGGTAATGTTTATTGTTGGTTACCAGTTGATGTTCTCAGAAAAGGCTATTTTCCTTCAATAGCTTCCATGTCCTGTGACCAAAAGACCTAAATTTGATTTCAAATAATAGTACTAAGGTCGGACAATAAGACAAACATAATTTGATCAATTTTCATTGTGCCCCTAAATTTCGTAAGGAGCACATGTGAAAAAAGTAAGAGCCCCTGTGTGGGCGGTTTTACCTGCAGCTGAGAGTTGAGGTCGTCCTTCTGAGCTAACAGACTCTCCTGCTCTCCACGTCTCTGCTGCAGCTCAGACGTCAGCGCCTCCTGCTGTTCACGCAGCAAATTCATCTCCTGTGTCTTCACTGTCTGGATCTGAACACAGACACAAATTTGTTTAGAGGAGGGGGGCACACATGAGTCCAGGGTCTGATGATGAGGGAGGAGCAGAGAGGAGTCAGGAAAGGGTGATGACCACGGAAACAAGACGGAGCAGAAGGAGAAGGAGGAGGAGGAGGATGGAGTCAAAAACGACAACTGTGATTGGTCCTCCTGTTCACTAAACAGACTCTGATCTGGCTTTAAAGTTCACTCTCTTTCAGAAATCCAACAGTTTAAATGATCACAGTGTCAAGGTACTCTAAACTGGGTCAGTATTTGGGGGGTCTACACAAAGGGTCTATGGGATCTCTAAGTCTAACCAAGGATTACCTGTTCCAAAGCATACAGACTAGTCCTCAGAGCCCTGTTCTCCTGCAGAGACAGTTCAGGTCAGTCACCTCAAAACCCTCTCATTAGAATCAGGAGGGAACTTAAAAAAAATCCAAAAGATCTGGTCCTGGATTAAAAACTCTGCCAGGGTTCAAGGTGATTAACTTTGACCTGCTCAGAACAGCCGGGTCAGCCTGTAGGCAGTGTTGTGTCAGAACACTTTCAATGAGCGATCGTTCATGAACTTGTTGGCTCCAATTGGTTATTCCTGATGGCTGTGAAACTTCATCGTCTGTGTCGGGTCAGGAGATACAGAATTACGATAATGTTCTGTTCCATGTACAGAGCCGACAGCCCACGTTTGCCTTGAGCGTGTGATGACGTTTCACAGCCAATCAGAGGCGAAGGAGGCGGGACTTTTCCCTACTGTCCTACAAAACAAAAATATCACGCCCCGCGCACACAGACTCGTATGAGCATTTAAAGGGTTTTATGTAAAAGTCAGCACCGACAGACGGTAAAAATCCAACCTTTTTGTGTAAACTTTGGCTGAACATCAACGACATCTTTAGCAAACCTTAAACAGATATGATTTCATATCCTTATTGATATTGTTATTTCCAGTATTTGCTCTGGTTCCTTTTTAGTCTGACTGAAATGGAATTTGATGTGAGTTATTTCCAGGTCTGTTTGGAAAAGTATGAAAAATTGAAGGACTACAGTCCTGTTGTTGTAATCCTAAAACAGTCTAAAAATCATTCAAGCAGCAGGTTTTCCTCATGTTTATGAAAATATACTCTAGAAATGAACGTTCCTACTAGTTAGGACTGAACTTTAGGGAAACACCAGTATTCTGAGGACTGTCCTCTCTATTGTAAACCCGGTTGGATTAGGATTCAAAAATAGATATGAGGATTAATCTGACATAGTTTCAGTGTTAAAACAGCTAAAATAATTGCTGTCTGTGGTTCTAAATGGGCTCCATAAAATATCTGGACATATAATTGCTTACAGCAAAGTTTTGGAGAAAAAAACGAACTTTGAACGAGTTCAGGTAGAAAGTGAACTTTCCCAACACTGCCTGTAAGGTTACCGGGTCCGGACATGGTTAGCGTTTAAGATCTGGATAATTTTCTCTAGAGCAGTTTGGATTTCTAGATAGTCTGTTTTGTTTGTCCTCTAAATAGCATGTTCTTAAGTTTGTCTTCATTCTGGACCAGCAGGGTTCATCTGGAGCGGGTCTTGGGAGAGTTTTGTTTCTAGATTAAGTTCTTGGTTTTCCAGAGTTACTTGGTTTGACCACAGATATGAAACTCTGGGATGGGTCTACGTTACAATTTTTTTACATTTTCTAGAGCAGCTCGGTTAGTCCTCAGAGATGATGTGATGTTAGAATGGTTCTCCAGGTGCTGGACTTGTTCTTGGCTCCACAGAACCGGTCCCAGACGGTGAATTTGGGGTTAAACCCCTGAATGACGTTCTCTCGGTTTAATTACCTGTTCTAGAGCAGCTAGGTTTGTCCTCAGAGCATCGTTCTCTTGCAGGATGCTGTCCACCTGTTCCTGACTGACTGCGCTCTGACTGGCTACCTGCAGTACCATGCACCACAGACAGGGGGCAGCAGAGGTTTGGAGAGAGAGAGAACCCAAAGGAAGAGAAAGAAACCCAGAAACGGGAACCAAATGAAAACAAAAAAGAGACAAAGTGGAATAAACCGAAAAGGGGAAAGAAAAGAGGACACAAGGAGAAAGGCAACCATAACAGAAGAATAAAAGGGGAGAAGAAAGAGAGGAGGAGAAGAGAAGAGCGAGGAGGAGAAGAAAGAGAGAGGAGGAAAAGAAAAGAGAGAAGATGAGAACAGAAGAGCGAGGAGGAGAAAAAAGAGAGAGGAGGAGAAGAAAAGAGAGAAGAGCAGAAGAAAGAGAGAGAAGAAGAGCAGGTCAGAAACACACAGCTGTTCATCAATCAGAGGAAAGTCTGCCCTCTACTGTTCAGTTTCATTTTAACCAGAATTCACTGTGAGAGGAAACAAGGAACCGAACAGAGCAGCATATCCTGACGTCAGCCAATCAGATTCTTCTATCATATCTGTCTGTTTCCTGTGTTTATTTCCTTAGTGTTTCCTGTCTGTTTCCAGTTTGTTTCCTGTGTGTTAAAAGTGTGTTTCCTGTCTGTTTTCTGCCTGTTTCCTGTCATTTTCCAGCTCGTATCCTGCCTGTTTTTGTGTTTATATCCTTAGTTTTGACTTCCTGTTTCCTGTTTGTGTCCAGTCTGTTTTCCTGTCTGTTCCCTGTGTTTATTTCCTTGGTGTTTCTTGTCTGTTTCCTGTTTGTTTTCTGTCTGTTTTCTGTCTGTTTCCTGTCTGTTTTCTTTCTGTATCCAGTATGTTTTCTTAATGTTTTCTGTTTCCTGTGTTTATTTCCTTAGTGTTTCCTGTCATTTTCCAGTCTATATCCTGTATTTTTCCTATTTGTTTCTGTCTGTTACCTGTCTGTTTCCTGTGTGTTTCTTGTCTGTTTTCCCGTCTGTTTCCTGTCTGTTTTTACTCTGTCTCCTGCTTATTTCCTGTATGTTTCCTGCCTGTTTCCCGTTTTTTCCTGTATGTTTTCTTTCTTTTTCCTGCCTTATTCCTGCATGTTTCCTCTATGTTTCCTGTCTGTTTTTTGCATGTTTCCTCTCTGTATCCTGTATGTTTCCTCTGATTCCTGCTTGTTTCCTGCTTGTTTCCTCTCTGATTCCCGCCTGTTTCCTGCCTGTTTCCTGGCTGTTTCCTGTATTTATTTCCTGAGTGTGGGTGTTACCTTGTCTTTGAGGTTGTGCAGAGCCAGCTCATGCTCCTTCTCTTTGCTCTGCAGCTGCTCTCTTAGTTCTGCTGTCAGCTGAACACAAACACAGTTTATTTAATTATTTCTATAATCTGGGATCCTTGGATTGGCTGAATAAGATCTTGTTGTTTGTGAGGTCTCACCTGATTGGCTGCCATGTGGTCAGACTGTAGTTTCTGAATGCGGAGGTTCATGGCCTTCAGCTCCTCCTCTTTTCTTTGGTTGATCTCATCGATCTTTGTCCTGCAGAAACAGCAGGAGTTGGTGAGGCAGTCGGAGTTAAAGTGAATAAACGGAGAGACTGAGTAGTTTCTGACCTGCTGTCGTTGTACAGCGCCTCCTTCTCTCCCTGCAGACGCTGAAAACTGCCGAAAACAAGCACAGACTTTTATTCTGCTCATGTTTTTTTAACACATACGCCTTCTAGAGGACAAGAACTTCAACATTCAGAACCTCAACTCTTTCCAACCAAACCAAGTCAAAGCATTCGTGTGTCAGAAGTTGGAGCCCTCACCTCTCCTGTTTCTTCTTTAACTTGTCAGAAAGCTTCAGGAAGGAGAGGCAGAAACAAAGTCATGATGTTAAAACAAATAACTTCAGTCGTTAGCTCGACGACATGATGTCTCTTGACTTTTACCTTTGTGATCTCCTCCTGTAGTTTGGTGATTTCCGCCTGTTTGGAGGCCTGGAGGAAACATGAGACTCATTTCAGGAGACAGTCACTGTTCATTTCAAACCTGAGCATGACTGTGAATAAACACTCTGACAGCTATTCCCTCCTGCTACATTTCTGAGTTATTATATCTGTTCAGGTGGTGGTCTTTTAATTGTTCCCAAAATGAAAAACTAAAACATACGGTGAATCATCATTCCAAAATTATGGTCCCCATCTGTGGAACAGCCTACCTGTAGACCTGAGAGCGACACCTACTGTTCAGATTTTTAAAAGCAAACTAAAGACCGACCTTTTTAGTCTTGCTTTGAGTTAAATTTTGTTTTAATCTTTTAATCTGCATTATGTGATTTTACCCTATTTAGTCCTAAAGTGATTATTTTGTGTTTTATTACCTCTTTTTTTACATTTACTTTCTGTTATTGTTTGATTTTAAGATTGCTTTATTAAATTACCTTTTAATGCTTTATCACCTTTATTATATTTTATTATGGTTTTATCGTTTTAGTCCTGGAGCCAGTGTTTCCTCATCTTTTTTCACTCAAGATAGTGTTTCCTCAGTCATCTGTGGAAAGTTGAAGAGCCCTAACCTGGTCTTTAGTGTGTGTATCTGTGTGTGTGAGTGTGTGAGTGCTGTGTGTGTTGAATGGGGGGTGGGGGGGTGGGAGGGTGGGCGGGCTTTGGTGTTTGGTATTTGTATTTGTATTTGTATTTATTTTATTTTATTGTTTTTTAATATCCTGTTCTTATTTAAGAACATGTATAAAACTAAAGCAATAAGATCCGGTATGAAGAAGAGCAATAACAAAATATTGAAATTTTTGGTTGTGTCTGTTTGTATACTTGTTATGGAATATTGTTGGTTTATTTATTTTCTAACATGTTTTTGAGAATTTATCTTTTCTTTCTCTCTTTTTCCCTTTTCTTTAGAAGACTTGTAGTGTAACTCAGACCATGTAGTTAAAGAGTCGCCTTGCTAAAGTTTTTGTTTTTTTGTAAAAAGGGTAGGCAAAATAAGCATGAGCTTCAGCCTACACCTTTTCGATTAGCTTTATGATGCTTTTGAAATTTACTATGTATCTGTTGTGGGTGGATTTTAAATGCTAATCGAATAAAAAAATATATATATAAAAATATAAAAAAAAAAAAATAGACAGCACTTTGTGCTACATTCTCTGTATGAAAAGTGCTTTAAAAATAAAGCTTGATTGATCGATTCTGTGTGATGATGACATTAAAACTAACATTTCTAAGCTTGGAGTCACAAAGAGGATTCAGCTTCTGGTCTAGATACTGAAATAGACCTGGATCTGACCCTTGAACAGTGCGCCAACTCTAACTGGATGCTTCTGAACCGACCCTGACATTTCTGTGTATGAGGGATTTAAGAGCATCATAGTTAATGTAGCGACTGCTTTCCTTTAACAAAACGGCAGCTGGGGTTTAGGTTTGCTTGCAGCTGTGACTCGTTCAATTACCAATCTGGTTTGAGTGTTATAAAAAAGTAATTTATTGTTCAAAAAAGTAAAGAAAACATGCTGATCCGGGTCCAAAACTTTGGACCTTCAAATGAAAATGTGATATGATGAAATGAGGTTAAAACAGGATGAGTGAAACAGCGAAAAGCGGTCGAAAGAAAATTATCAGAGCTTACCAAAAACCAACTGCCTGACTACTCCAGTGAGATTTAAAGAACCCGACAAACATCCAAAACTACACCCCTCAGTTACGCACCTATAGAAGTCATACTTTCAACAAATACAGTTTGGCTCCTACATTTACTGTGAGAACTAAATGTCCATGAAAAAGTGTCGTCTTCATCAGACACATTTTCAGACGTGACAGAGAGGAAGTGAAGAGTGCCATTAGCTAGCAGCCCAACGCTATTTATCTATGAACGTGTTCCTGAAGCCCTGACCAGTGTTATCAAGAGGGCACCTGTCTGCAGGTGCACCCCCCGACAGAGATTTAGTAGTTGTCATTCTGCCATGTTTTGGTAGACTATATGAATAGTCGGGCTGGGACGATATGATTTTCTTCCGATTCGATTCTTCTACGATTTTTTGGATGCCGATTTGGTGTAATTTACGATTCTACACTACAGCTACACCCAACCATAGCACTTTAACAGGTGAAGCCGACAGCACTGTTGGTGAGAAAAAAAGAAAATGAGTGCTACCCCCGAAAGAGATGACGATGAAGGCTCAACAGATGAAGACATCGTCAACAACACTGACACGAAAACGTGGGTGGTGTGGAGGTATTTTGGTTAGTTGAGGTCGGACATGAAGCAGAGTAATGTGGACTGTAAATTATGTCGAGTACATGTTCTCATAAAGTCGGAGAATACCTCAAATCTCTTTCACCACCTGAAGCAGTGCCATGCGGCAGAGCACACGCAACGCAAAAGGTTACAGACCCCAAGAGGAGCAAGGAGCCCATGGCGTCTGTGCAGCCAAAACAGCTGACCATTCAGTCTGCTTTCTCTAGAGTAACGCCTTACGACAAAATGTCAAAGAGACACAAAGACCTCACAGATGCAGGAGATTATTGGAAAAGACATGGTACCAATAAACACTATTAAATTTCATTTTTTATATTGTGATATATATATCGATATCGACTGATATGAAAAAAATGTTGTGATAAACTTTTTACCATATCGCTCAGCCCTAGTTACTGGTCTGTTTGGGCTCCAGTCTTCGGACTGTTTCAAAGGAAAACCTGTCTTTGGGTTTGGATATTTTTGAGCATACAGGTTAAAAATACCTGAATTCAGTGCATAGACACTGGTCTGTGTGTGTGTGTGTGTGTGTGTGTGTGTGTGTGTGTGTGTGTGTGTGTGTGTGTGTGTGTGTGTGTGTGTGTGTGTGTGTACCTCCAGGTTGTGGATCTGCTCCCTCAGCAGCCTCTTCTCCTCCTGCTCGGTGTTCAGTGCCATCTCCAGCTCTGGTCCAAAGCAGTGAGTTATTGGACAGAGAGCAGCCGACCAGCCTAGCGCTGCCTGCTTACCTACAATCTTCTCTACGCTCTTCTCTGACAGGCCTACACACAGCAGGGGGGCAGTCTGTTAGGCCAGACACACACTGCACCTGCTGCTTGTTCTACCTGACCTCTGATCAGAGATTTCCTTGCTCAGCTGCAAAGTCAAACATCCTCACTCCCCAAGGTGCGTTCACTGACTATGTTAATCTGAACACTGCAGTTAGAGAAACTTCAGGAGGTGGTGCAGTCTCAGAGTTTGTTTATTTATCAGACAGAAACAGCTCTGAGATGTTCTCCATGAAACCTTCTGAATCAGGTCCTCTCATCATGAAACAACAGGTGTGTAAACTGACCTGGACTGACCACGCTGAACTTTTTAAAGTTTTTAAAGACAAATTTCCAAGGGTTCGGGTAGTTTGGGCTTTGCAGCTGTGCCAGGAAACATCAGGTTCATATGGAAAAGCTTCTTCATCAGAGGAAAGATCTAAGTTCTACTTTGTGTCCAGTTGTTCTTCAGCTTGTAGTGTGTGTCTGCCCTCAGCCAGCTAGCTGCTCTATGCTTCAATAAAGCTGCAGGCTGCAGGGTCACCAGTAACTCTCAAACAGAGGCAGAAACTCAGACAGGACTCTTTTAAACAGAGATGAACTCTCCACCAGATCAGATACTGCTGTAAGCTAAATTATAACCGCCAATTTCCACCACATCCTGAACGTCTATGAAGAGGTCTTCTCCTCGGATCGTAGCTGATTGTAACCATTCAAGTTAACATGTCAATTTCCACCGGCTTCTTTCCGTTCCTCTGCCGATCGCCAGACTCCACAGCTGATCGCAAGAGTTCTAGTTTTTGCGGATGCCGGAGCATTCCGGGTAAATTCAGCACAGATTAACCCGTGCTGGAAAGGATGTAGGGCACAGACACAAAATAAAACATCCGGCTTCTTTTCAAAATAAAACACTCTGTGTTTCAGGAGGATCGTATTTCACACCATGCAAACGGGCGGAGACGAACAAGTGAAAGGTTTTTAGACGTCATTTCACCCAGATGACACCATGGATGAGGAGATGCTGATTCTAGAAGTCTAGAAGTAGATTTCCTCCTCTGAAAGGACACAATCTACTGCTTATATGTCTATGTGTCTGTCTTTATAGAGACAACTCGTTATCATGTCATTGAACGTGAATCCGCAGGTTTTTGTGACTTCTTGCGATTACAGCTGTCCGAAATCCGCCACAAAATTCACCTCACAAACAGATCCGGGAGGAATCGGCGGATGGTGTTCCAGTTCGGAGCCGTTCCAGATGCGGTGAAAATTGGGGGTCGGAGATTGCTTTAAACTATATTCTAATAACAGCCTGTATTTGAGAATTTAGGGTCATGAAAAGCCACAAAAGGACAAAAAAAATCCAAATTAAAGCATATGACCATGGTTAGTTAAAGCGATTCAAGGATGGAAAGTATGGTGGCCAAGAACCACCACTGCTGCAAATAAAAAAGAATGCGAAAAAAAGAAGTCACAACAGAAGTTACTGATGCAAAAAAAGGAAAAAAAAAAGAGAAAGGAACTAAAGCCCACTGCATATAAAACTGAAACAGTGCGGATTAAAAAAAAAAAGCCACAACAAAAGTTAACGACCCAAAAAAATAGTGGCAATGTAAAGAAAAGAAAAAAAAGTTACTTTCTGCGAAAATAATAGGATACAAACAAAAAAGAAAGCAAAAAAAAAGAAGTCACAACCGAAGTTACCAATGCAAAAAAAAAAAACTGAAATGGTGCAGATTTTAAAAAATGCCACAAAAGAAATTAACGATGCAAAAAAAAGAGGCAATGTAAAAAAAACGAGTTACTTACAGCGAAAATAAAAGGATGAAAACAAAAAAAAAGCTAACTTCTGTTGTGGCTTTTTTTATTTGCATCCTTTTATTTTCGCAGTAACTTTTTTTCTTTTTTGCATCACCACTTTTTTTTGCATCGTTAAATTCTTTTGTGGCTTTTTTTTTTAACTGCACCGTTTCCTTTTTTATTTTCAGCAGGCTTCAGTTTCTTTTTTTGCATCGGTAACTTCCATTGTGACTTCTTTTTTGCATTCTTTTTTATTTGCAGCAGTGGCGGGTCTCGGCCACCATACTAAAGTGATGCATTCAAGGACACTGTATGAGTGATGGAAACCTTGGCCTCTAAACTGAAGGATGAACGTCAAAATGATCTGCTACTCAACACGATCACATGATCAGGCTGAATAACAGGCATGTCATCTGTGTTCCAACTCAGGGGCGTGGTGCATTCACTGTCCAAGGCTCAAAGAAAGGACACCCGTCCACACTTAGTACATTTACATGCAGAGTTTAATCGAGCTAAGCTCATATTTATTTATGTTTTGCCAAATCGGACTTCTCTCCTTGTCCATGTATACATGCAGCTGAGAAAATTGAATTATTGACGTGAACGTGTCCTCCTCCCCAAAACTAGTGGGCGATATGGGTCTTTTCAGCAGCGCTGTTTCCAACCCCATACAACCATCAACAACAACAGCAGGTCCGTGCCAGATTCAGAAGTGGCTTCAACTGCTGCTGGGCATTTTGGAGCAAGAAGATGGAGCATCGTACAGCGTTGTTTTTGTCCTACATGATGGACGCACTACTTTTTCTGCAGATGAGACACACACTTCTCCTCTTCTCTGGTGTTTTTGCTCTGGGGTTAATTATCTTAATTGGAGTTCTCCAACTATAATCGGAGTTTGAGAACTCCAATTATAGTTGGACTAAGGTGTTTATATGCACTTCAGTTGTCCGGTCTTAATCGGAATAAGGCGGTAAGTCGGTTTCTCACGTGTCATGGAAACGTACTGACTTTGGACAGGTAACACAGGTGTGTCCTCTCTTTGAGGTGATCTGGGTCCTCTGAATCAGAAACATGCAGCTTATCATGGTCTGTTTGATCCAGCAGGGGGAGCTCTCATTGTTACCTGAGCGCTGAATGACACTCTTGACCTCAGCCAATGAATACAGGGAGGATTTGAAATTAAAGGACGAGTGCTGCATTCAAAGTCACAGCCGTCTGACCAACAGAGAGTGCTCCACAGCAGGTTACTGATCTACTGGGTCTTTATTTAACCCAGAGTCTACCAAAGCTGGATCCTTCAGCCCTGATTTGGGACCCAGCTGATCTTCAAATCAAAAGGACGGAGTGTTTTAGTCAAAGAGGATGACGCCTGTCTCATGTCGTGTGACTTTCAAAGACTTCACTGATCGACACATCCCACATTTTCATGATGACAGACAAGAGTCACAATTTCAATGTGACTGCAGAACACGGACTTGATGGTGACCAGAGGAGTTTTCAGGCTCAATCAAAAAACCTGAATTTAAACCATCAGACCACAGAGTTCATGAAGGTCACATGACATGACAGGACAGGAGGCTGTCACAAAGAGGAGTAGAGGTGAAGAAACTCACCGTGGAGATGTTTGTCTGTGCAGTCCAGCTGAGTGGACATCTGCAGGATGAAGATAGAGACAGTTTCAGGGTTCATTTTCTGATCTTCTGAGAAACCACCAAATTCAGGAGCATTTTGAAAAACACCAGTCACCTGTTCTGTTCTGTCATTAGTTCCCTCTGCTGCTGGCTCCTCCCCCTCTGTGACCTCAGAGACTCCGTTGGCGCTGGCTGACCCGTCCGTCTCCGTGTTGGCGCCCGCTTGTCTCAGTAGTTCTTTGTCGTAGTGTTCCTGGAGGGCTGGCGGTCAAACGCAGGGTTTATATATACACCTATAAAAACCATGTCTGTGCACACGTGAAGGACAAAACTGAAGGACACACCTAAAGGACACACCTGAAGGACACATCTAAAGAACACACCTGAAGGACACACCTGAAATAGCTTCACTTCAATAATGAACTCCAGACTCCCCTCCCCTTAAATAATGAGACTTTTAACTTCCCTCCCCTTTAATATTATTTAAAACTCCCCACCCCTTTAATAAAAAATTGAACTCCCCTCCCCTTTAAAAATATTTTAAAACTCCCTCTTCTTTAATAATAAAACGTCAAACCACCCTCCCCTTTAACAGTAAGTCTTTAAACTCCCCTCCCCTTTACCAATAAGTCTTTAAATTCCCCTCCCCTTTAAAAATAAGACTTTAAACTCCCCTCCCCTTTAATAATAAAACTTTAAACTCCCCTCCCCTTTAATAATAAAATCAAACTCCCTTCCCCTTTAGAAATATTTTAAACACCTCTCCCCTTTAATAATAAAACTTTAAACTACCATCCCTTTTAATAAGTAGTCTTTAAACTCCCCTCCCCTTTAAAAATAATGTTAAACTCCCCTCCCCTTTAAAAATATGTTAAACTCCACTCCCCTTTAAAAATAAGACATTCAACTCCCCTCCCCTTTAATAATAAAACTTTAAACTCCCCTCCCCTTTAATGATAAATAACTTTAAAATACCCTTTCATTTAATCATCAAACTTTAAACTCCCCTCCCCTTAATAAGCAAACTAAACTCCCCTACCGTTAATAATAAAATAAAAACCCCTTCCCTTTAATAATAAGTCTTAATAAGTCTTAATAATAACTCCCGTCCTCTTTCATGAGTAGACTTTAAAATCCCTTCCCCCTTAATAATTAGTCTTTAAACTTCCCTCCCCTGTGATAATTGTTATTCTCCTACGAGTGGAAATGCTGATTAAGCATTTCCACTTTTTGTTATTCTACTATTTCTTTATTATTAAGTGGAAATGCTGATTAAGCAAATTGATTTCAGCAAATTTTAAGGCTTTATAATGGATGTGTATTGGAAGAGCTAGAGTGATGATGTCGTCGCTAGAGTGGACAGTTCCTCTTTTATCGACAGAACCTCGCTCGAATATATCGCTCCCACGCCCACAAATTTCACTCCACAGCCATAAAAAATACATCAAAATTGAGGTATATGTGTCCTGCTTCTCACAAAAGAGGTTTCAAATCATTAAATCATACCCCTTGGCCAGCAGGTGACCAACTGTCCAAAAATGGCAAAGAACCCTTGCATTGGCCCTAACGTAATTTTTCTCCAAGAAAATCCTGATTATCACTCAGGCTCAGACCTTTTTAACTCGCTGTTGTGGCCACATTTTTTAGAGTACAGACATGAAAAACACATCATTGTGTTCATGAAGGGCGGAGGATTCGTACGATGTTCTTATTTTCATTCAAGGATTTAAGGAAACTACGTTATGTGAAATAGTTCAGAGGCCCTAAATTCACTGCAGTTAGGCAGATTCTCATTCAAACAGCAGGTCAGTTAATGCCTTTGATCTCACAGCTGTTTAGGATGCAATCATTAACGAGACACACACACACAGTCTGACAATGTGTGTGCGTGTGTGTCTCTGCCTATAAGACCTGCATGTACACACAGTTAATATGTGTCTGCTTCACCACCTATCTCCACCCACAAACTCTGAGCTACAGAAACCATTCTGGGCTTCAGAAATTCATGAATATATACAGAGGTTGACCATCAGTGCCTAGCTGGAGAGCTATTTAATCAGCTGTAAGCCACCTCTCTCCTGCTGCAGTGACATATCTTCCTTCGCCATGGCAACCAATTAGTGCACCTGGAGACACACAGCTGACTGGAAAGCTGCGTCTAACGGCCATGTGAGACACAAAAATATTTCCCCCATGGGGGATCAATTAAGGAATATTCTATTCTATTCTATGAAACCAGGCTCAGTACACAGAGCACTGGGGGTTATATTAAAACCCTTTCTCCTCCCACAAACTTTGAGCTACAGAAACCATTCAGGGCTCCAAAAATTCAGCTCATTGAAGACATTATGGGATGTATTTGGGATTTCGTTAATTAATTGTATCAATATTTTCAGCAGAGTCGTGGGGTTCTCACAAGTTTCTTGTCATGAATGTAGCCGTTACAGAGAATGAGCATCAGGGCATAGTTTTGGATTTTGTTTCTCAGCTTCAAACGTTCTTTCTCCTGCTGTAGTGATGCATCTACGGTCCCCAACGCAACCAATTTGTACACCTGGAGACACACAGCTGACTGGAAAGCTGCTTCTAACGGCCACATGAGACACATGAAGCCAGGCATAGTACACAGAGCACTGGGGGTGACATTTAAAACTCTTTGCTAGAGCGCTTGACAAACTTTGTCCCCTATCTCCTCCCATGAACTTTGACCTACAGAAACCATTCAGGACTTCAAAATTTAAGCTCATTGAGGACATTATGGGGTGTACTCAGGATTTTTATTCATTTAAATTTTCCCCACTTTAAAATTAATCACGTTATTCATACATTATTCAATTCTTCAGACAAATTTAAACTCAAACTGATTCAAACCTAATACTTCAAACTTGTCTAATACTTGAGGATTTTTAATTATTAAATTTTTTTTCCCATTTTAAAATCATTCTCATCATTTTGCATTTTTTGATTCTTCAAACAGATTCCCAGATTTACTACTACAATTACCTCAAATATCACTTTAACTTGTATCTTAACTTCTACCTTCACTACTCTTGCTTCTCTAAATATTTTTTTACTGCATCTCTTACTTTTATTGCCACTTTTACTTCTACCACGAGCTCTACTGCTTTGACTTCTACTTCTTCTATTCTAAAACTACTTCTACTGCTTACATGACTACTACTTCAAACTTTGTGCAATTTAAGACATTTTTCTAGCCTCTTTCAGCATGAATGCAATAATAATTTATGGAGCACATTCATACTATTTGTACTTCAACAATTTTCACTTTCATCCAACTTCTACTTCTTCTTCTTCAGCCCTTTAACCAATTTTACATTTAAACCTTCCTCCATTTTTTTTTAGAAGTTTTGCATTGCTTTTTCAGTTTTCAGCACTCAGCATTTTCTGCAAGGAAATGCACGTTTTCTAGTTTTAAACCGATTTTCAAACGGTTTGGTTTGTAACAAACCTCAGAGTATTAGTTATGACACACACACACAGTCTGATAACGTGTTTGTGTGTGTGTGTCTCTGCCTATGACACCTGCATATACACAGTAACTATGTGTGTGCATTAGTCTCTCTCTCTGTCTATGACACCTGCATGTGCACACAGTTAATATGTATGCACGTGAGTGTCTCTCTGTCTTTGAGACCTACATACACACACTTTGACCATGTATCTGCTTCACCACCTATCCTCTTCCACAAACTTTGAGCTACAGAAACCATTCAGGGCTCCAAAAATTCAGCTCACTGAAGACATTATGGGGTGTATTTAGGATTTTGTTAATTAATTGTATCAATATGTTCAGCAGAGTCGTGGGGTTCTCACAAGTTTCTTGTCATGAATGTAGCCGTTACAGAGAATGAGCATCAGGGCATAGTTTTGGATTTTGTTTCTCAGCTTCAAACGTTCTTTCTCCTGCTGTAGTGATGCATCTACGGTCCCCAAGGCAACCAATTTGTACACCTGGAGACACACAGCTGACTGGAAAGCTGCTTCTAACGGCCATATGAGACACATGGAGCCAGGCATAGTACACAGAGCACTGGGGGTGACATTTAAAACTCTTTACTAGAGCGCTTGACAAACTTTGTCCCCTATCTCCTCCCATGAACTTTGACCTACAGAAACCATTCAGGACTTCAAAATTTAAGCTCATTGAGGACATTATGGGGTGTACTCAGGATTTTTATTCATTTAAATTTTCCCCACTTTAAAATTAATCACGTTATTAATACATTATTCAATTCTTCAGACAAATTTAAACTCATTCAAACTGATTCAAACCTGTCTGATACTTCAAAACAAAATCATTCTTCAAACAAAATCCCTCTTCTGGTACTACAACTACTGCTGATGTCAATTAAACTAATACTTTCCCCTCTACTTCAACTGCTATTGCTCCTATCTACTTTTTCTAATGCTACTACTACTTCTACTACAAGCTCTGCTATTTTGACTTGTACTTCTTTTATTCTCAAACTACTTCTACTGCTTATATGAATGCTAATATCACTACTATGACTACTTATACTTCTTCTAGTGCTACAACTTAAACATACGCCACTTCTCACCTTCCTGCCTTTTGGAGTGATTTCCTTCTTCATTCAAACTTTGTCCAATTTTAGACATTTTTCTAGCCTCTAAATAAAATTTAAATCTAGTGCATGTTCATACTATTTGTCCCTCAACCATTTTCACAATTATCCAACTTCTATTTCTTTTTCACCCAACAGCTTTTACATTTATACCTTTCTCCATTTTTTATTAGCAGTTCAGCATTGCTTTTTCAGATTTCAGCACTAAGCATTTCCACGCATTTTTTGCAAGAAAATGCAATTTTTCTAGTATTATTTTAAACTCCCTTCCCCTTTACTTAAAATGTCTGTATAGACACCATGTACATCAAACAGACTCGTATTTTGAAGGATCTCGTTACGGTGTCGTTCCTTAGGGCTCTTCACTGGGTCCTTTTTTTTTATTGGTCAAACATGGTTCTAGTTCAGAGAGTAAGTTCTGCTGGTGGACCTCCAATAACCCACCTTTCATTTTCTTCTGCAGGGCGGAGTTTTCAGCCCGCAGGCGGAGCAACTCTCCATCCACGGGGCTGGAGGTGGAGTTTTGGGCAGGGCTGGTGTCAGAGGTTCCTCCTTCTCCTCCTCCTTCTTTTAAGCTCTTGTTCTCCTGCTCCAGCTGCTCGATCTGTGTACACAGCTGGAAAAAACAGGAACATGGGCTTCTTTAACACAGACACAGGGGTTCTGAGGTCCAAACAGAACCAGAGGAGGGTTACCTTAGAGAGTTCAGTCATCAGTGTGCTGTTCTGGAGTCTGAAGTCCTCCTCCTGACTGTGAAGTTTCCCCTGAAGCATCTCATTCTCACTCAGCAAGGCCTCCACCTCCTGAAACAGCAAAAACCAAAAGGTGTGGAGACAAAATCACTCTTTTAAATGTTTTTATTTTTTATTTTAGGTGGAGCAGCTGACAGAGAGAAACTTTAAAAATGACTAATGTGACCAGATTTCTGTAATGAAATCCGGGGACATTCGGCGGGGGTGCATTGGCTGCGTAATCACAGACATCTCGGTACTATTTAGTAGCAGCGCGCGCCCCTTGTAATAACCCCCGTAAAACCATAAAAACTGTTGTTCAGGACTGCTTACTTGTGCTTCCTACCCATTTGGCTACTGTAATAACCGTTGTTCTAGCCTACACGCAACATTTTTGTTCCCATTCATGAAATGCTTAACTCGGGGACATTTTCGGGGACAGTTTTTGCCTGGGAAAGGTCATCCAATTCGGGGACTGTCCCCGGAAATTGGGGACTGTCCCCGGAAATCGGCGACGTCTGGTCACCATACTTTAAACCAGAAAATTAAACCAAACCAAGAGAGACAAACATCAGGATCTGTGCAGCACAGCTGATGACCAGCAGAGGGGGCTCATGCTTTGTTTTAGAAAACTCACCTGAGCCTTTTTGCTCTTATTTAAAGCCTGAGGAGACAGAAAACACAGACATTAGTCTACAGAAGCTCATTTCTGATTTTTAGGAATGTTAAACTCACAGATATCCGATCTTTTTGTGTTCATAATCTCAGACTCCTTACCTTCTGTGCTTTGACAAAGTCTCTTTCCAGAACTACATTCTTCTGTCGGACAGCGTTGAGCTCTGCAACACAGAAGTATGAACTTGATTTAAAGCAGACAAGCTGCATAGTTTCACCTCATCACAGGCTGATAAAACAGTACAGATTTTTTAAACATGGACTGAGACGAGTGTTAATTATTGATTTCATGAATAAAACAAAGTCTCTCTCTGCTGAAGGTCTGCGCTCTGGCTTTCGTCCACACAAGGACAGATGTAAATAATTCACACAGACAGACAGACATGCTCAGAGACTGTCATTACTGTGATCCATTCATGAAGCCTGTAAATGAAGAGTACCTGGAATAAAGAGATGTATTATTATTTGTAAACATGTTTGGATATCAAGTTTATAGTTAGAGTTTATAATATTTCTCAGGGCTCGACAGTGTGATCATTTCACTCGCATTCACAACTAAAAATAGATGTGTCCCGTTTGTCCCGTTTGTCCCGATGCTGTCCCGTTTCCACATTGACAGGACCATGACGACACTTTTTTATCGTGCTTTTATTGAGTCGGTGTTAAAGGGGCCATGGCATGAAAAACTGACTTTGTTAACGGGAGGGGGGTGCATATCAGGGAAAGGATTTTGCAGACCACTTCAGAAGTAAAATCGACAACATCAGATCCAGTCTTTTATCTCAACAGATTTTAACTGCCACCACACCTGGATCACTGCTTTTACCCAAGGAAACACTGGAGAGTTTTGCACTGGTTGACGCGCAGACACTTGGTCGAGTTTTCTCCTGAAGTTCTTTGTGTGCTCTTTACTTTTTCAACTTAGGAGAACATGTGAAAAAAGTAGTGTCAAGCCCTGGTATTTCTCCTTATTGAATCAGACTTGAATATTTCTGTCATTCTGAGGTGATTTTTCTGCTCTATGTTGCTTCTAAACAGACGTAGTCAGAGTTCCTCTGTCTGACTGAAAGGACCGTCTCTTCTGGAGCTTCAGCTGGTCTGTTCTAGAAATGGACCATGAATAAAAAATGCTTTAGTATGTATTTAACATCAGCGACAGTACACTTTTCTTCATAAACTACTCTACAAAGACACACACACTCACACACACAGAACAATGCAGCTGTGAGCATGAAGACAGTTACGGTTTCACACTCGGAGTGTCAGTGCGTCAGCTCAGAGCTGCACAAATCTGCAAACACTCAAATGTGTTAATGTTCACACGACCGCCTCAGAGCTGTACAGAGACGTCTGCATGCACATGATAGGTCAAAGGTCAGAGGGGGTCACAGAGCTGGTTTGGACTGAGTCCTTCACATCAAGTTACAAAGCCGGAGCCTTGACTGACTCAGAGAGGTCTGCAGATCCACAAAGAAAACTCAAATTTCAGTATGAAAAAAATATAGTATAGTATGGTAAAAATGTCATAGTATGGTATGTTAAAAAATTCATATTTTAGTGTGAATTTAAATTTCATAGTGTACTATGATCGAAATTTCATATTTTAGTGTGAAAAAAAAATCATAGTAAAGTATAATAAAAATGTCATAGTATATTATGACAGAAATTTCCTATTTTAGTATAAAAAATTAATTCACAGTGTAGTTTGATTAAAATATCATCTCCAGGGATAGCCAGGGATCTTCACAACTCCTGAAACTGATCGTGAACTTAATAAACTTTGACCTCCTGAAACTATTTTCACTCTTTTCAGAGACTCTTCTATTTTAGCATCAATTAACAGATAAATCCTGATTTGTAAACCTTTACCTTAAATCTTGTTTCTCTAACTCTTGTCTGTTTTGTTTATGCGGCTGTACATCATCAGCTCATTGTGATTTTTATATTGGTCAATATTTTATTATCTTTATCTGATCTCTACAGTACATCTTCACATGGAGAGTTAGTAGTCATTATGCCGCAGCAGCAGCAGGAAGTGATGTCGACAGCAGCAGTTTTTCACAACAAAGTTTCAACAGGCAGAAATCTGAGAGCAGGGAGACACAGGAAGTGGAAGCTAGAGACCTTTTCTGTGAACACACTGACACACTGACCTCAGAGCTGCAGGACATTTCTACACAACATGAGGAGAATCATTTCAACATGGGAACACGCAGAGAGTCCGACTGTGAAAGTCTGTGATGATGTTTGACCCTAGAGAGTGTTTTAAAACTATACAACACCAAAAAACAAACACCGGAACATTTAATTTCCAGTCAAAAATATCTTTTTGTTTTAAATCTCATTCTGATATAAATTTGGAAAATCTGACGTAAAGCATCGCATTAAAAAGTGAATAAAACAGAGTTTCATTGTTCCAATTGGACGGATGTCAGATTCAGACTTCTGTCACTCAAACCTACAGCCGTGGCCAAAAGTTTTGAGAATGACACAAAAATTAATTTCCGTCTGCTGCGTCAGTTTTTATGATGGCAATATGCATATACTCCAGAATGTTGTGAGGAGTGATCAGATCAGTGTGATCCTCTCTGCCATGAAAACTTAATCCAAAAAATCATTTCCACTGCAGTTCAGTCCTGTCACTAAAGGATCAGCTGACATAATTACAGAGATTATAGAGAACACAGGTGAGAGTGTTGATGAGGACAAAGCTGGAGATCAATCTGTCATACTGATGGAGTAAGAATAGCAGACTGGATGCTTTAAAAAGGAGCGTGGTACTCCAAATCATTGTTATTCCTCTGTTAACCATGGTTACCTGTAAGAAAACACCTGCAGTCATTGTTGCTTTGGCTTCACAGGGAAGGATAACACTGTTTGTTAGATTGCACCTAAAACCATCATAAATCAGATCATCAAGAACTTTAAAGAGAGAGGTTCACTTATTGTGAGGAAGGCTTCAAGGTGCCTGAGAAAGTCCATCAAGAGCCAGGACTGTCTCCTAAAGTTGATTCAGCTGCAGGATCAGGTTACCACCAGTACAGAGCTCAGGAACAGCAGTAAGCAGGTGTGAGTGAATCTGGACCTTACAAACCAGGAGCGTTTTTTTCGTGCAATTATTTCGGACGTCAATATTTGTTTTTGAACCCATATCCTGTCAATACAAGTGTTCACATCAGCAACGTTTTCCCATCCTGCAATATTGCGGCATTTATTTTTTCGGATCACAGTCGATTTTTCTGAAGTTTCGCATACTGTGTGTCCACTTCTGACAAATCAGATTTCGTGTTGTTGTGGCGTCTGATTCACCGGTATATCCAATATGGCTGACCAGCTGATTGTTTACGTGTCGGAGAACAGAGTGCTTTTTGATAAAAGACACAAATATTACAAAGATAACAACCTGAAGGACAACTTGTGGAGAGTCATAGCGTCGAATTTCTCATATGACCATGGTTTGTGTGCTTTATCAGTTTGCTAAATGTCTTTGTTTTAACTTTCATCTGTGCTAAGTAACTTTAGCTCGTAAGCAAACCTGTTCAGATACAACATACCATAAGTATTTTCACTGTCTCAAACTCAATCACAGCGTTGTTGTCACAGCACCATTAGGTCTCTGTTGTTACCTTACATTTATGGATCATAGTTTAATGTGCTTATCTGGTACTGGCCCTGACTCAGTACATGCTATCATGACAGACAGGATCTCAACACTAGTGTCTAATCAGAACTGAAAAACACTCAGTCTGCTGTTGGGTCAGTCTTCTCGCTTCCACCTGGGAGGCGTCTTTTTTTCCCCCCGGAAAGTCGCAAAATTGCATCGGGCTTTATGTGTATAGTCAGGCGCGTCAAAATTCGCCTCTGAATATTCTGTAATTTCGTATATTTGCGTCAGTCCTGGTGTGTGAGGACCTTGAGGCGAAGACTTTTGGAGGAAGACAGCAAAGAAGCCAGGAAAAACATCAGAGACAGACTGATATTCTGTGAAAGTACAGGGATTTTACTGCTGAGGACTGGGGTAAAGTCTTTTTCTCTGACAAATCCTCTGTTTGATTGTTTGGAACATCTGGAAAAAAGCTTGTTTGCAGAAGAAAAGGTGAGCCCTACCATCAGCCCTGTATCATGACAGCAGTAATGCATTCTGAGACAGTTCATGAGTGGGATTTCTTCTCAGTCAAGGGAGTGGGCTCACTCACAGTTTTGCCCAAGAACACAGTCATGAATAAAGAACCAAAACATCCTCAGAGAGCAACTTCTCCAACCATTAAAGATCAGTTTGGTGATGAATAATGATGGAGCGCCTTACTTTGAGGATAAAGTGATAACTGAGTGACTTGAGAAAAAAAAATAAAAATTTTGGGTCTATGGTCAGGAACCTCCCCAGACCTTAATCCCATAGAGAACTTGTGGTCAATCCTCAACAAACAAAAACCAACAAATTGACACTTACGAAATAATTTAACTTAAGTATAACATAGAAACATCTGACAAAAAGATCTAAAAACACTGAAGCAGCAGAGTTTGAGAAAATTTATATTTGTGTCATTCTCTAAACTTTTGGCCTCGGCTGTAGAAGGTTGTTCAACAGGCTGATGATCAGCATCATGAACAGAGAGCGGTTTATTTATGTGAACACTTAGACCACAGAGTCTCAGTCTTTCTGCTGGACTGAGGGGATCCCTCCTGCAGGTCTCCTCAGTTTTGGACCCCTCCACCTGAACAGACGGCCTTACCTGAACCTGTTTGGGGACAGGAGAGCGGGTGCAGAAACTCCACCTGAATGTAAACATGGGCGGCTCCATCATACTGATAACAAGATCACAGCTGACACAGCAGACCTGCAGACTCCTATCTTGGCCCTGAATCAGATCTGATAAGAGTCCACGTCACGAGGTGGTAACACCTGAATCAGCTGACCTTTGACACAAAGATCCTCTGTGCGGGTGGCTCACCCTGACTGCTTTTTGGGTCTCAGGGTCCCCCTTCAGCTCTCTCTGTCTATCATGTCCTGATCTCCTGGAGGAGGCCGCACTCTCTCTCCCTGTCAGACAGACCAGAGCAGATGGAGGTGTCTTACCTGTGGTGTTCTTCCTGAGGTCATCAGACAGCTGGTAGTTTTGAGTCCGCAGCTCCAGCAGCTGAGCCTGCAGAACAACACAAACATGATCCAACAGTTCTTCATGGATTAACCTGTCAGAGTTCAAATGACGGTGGGAACGCTGCAGAAGGTCAAAAAGGAGGGTTTGAGTGTTCATCGTTACGTCTTAACAGGATCAGAAACACATCAGACATTTGAGAAGGAAGATGTCACTCAGCTTTTCTGTTTACGAGTTTTTCTGACTGTATGTCAGTTCATATTCTACGTTGTTTGTATATAAAAATAAAGTCAATGATTTCATAAGATTAATATTACACATCTGTAGCAGACAGTAAAAAATAATATCATTATTAACATGGAAATCTTGTTTGTTTTGATCAAATGACATAAATATATCAGGAAAAAATGTGTCATGATCATAAACTGTGTATAATATGGACAACTACACGGATTTGAAGCCGAAAAGCTCTCTGTAATTTTGCGTTTTTTTCTCCACTTCTGTAAACCAACATTGCGCAGTAGCGTTGTACGCAATCGGCCGGGGAGTCACATAAAGTCACTGTGATGACGCTCGGCTCAAACAGCGTATACCTGGATGGCAGGATTTTTTTTTGTTGGATGGTAGGGGAAGGTCCCGCCCTCTTTCACCTCTGATTGGATAGAAGTGCTGGGCTCCGATTGTTTGTTCCTTATGGCTGTGGAATATCATCGTCTATCGGGTTAGGAGATTCAGAATTGCGATAATGTTCTGTGTCATTAATTCATAAAGTTTGTCCACAGCTCCATAAGGAGACAGGATTTATGACCTATACTGCAACCCGTCACCAGAGGGCGCTGTTCTCAGAGTGGATTCACCCAGAGAGGAGGCAGACAGCGTCCATTCTAGATACAGTCTATGGTGCTGAGCAGAGGACCCAACAGTGTCCCCCTAACATCCTCAGAGCGGTTCTGATGACTTCAGAATTCATAGGAAGGTTCTGTAATGTCACAGATGTTCCCAGACAGTTCGAGTATGTTTCCAAAAGTCCAAAATTTTCTCAAACTTTCCGGAATGTTATTGATGTTACGTAGGCCTATCATGATAACAAATTTTGCTGGACAATAATTGTGCTACAAATTATCGCCGATAAACGATATTATTGACACCGTTTTTTAAATTATAGATAATGATATTATATGGCATAATAATGCGAGTACACCTTGTCAAAAGTGATAAACTTTAATTTCCACTGTCTGTCAGCGCGCACCATTTTGCGCTGTTTTGTTTATATTTGCTTTGCTTACCAAACGCTTCAGTAAGCGGTACCTGTCGGGACGATGGCTCCGCAGCACCTCCGGCGGTACTTTTTTTGCTCAGTTGGGAAAAATGGAGGGGATGATTGTGCTTGAGGTGCACATGCATGTTCGTCGTATTCCCCTTCTTTGTCACCACAACTTTGGAACAAATACGACATATCGGCTCATCTGTATTTGTGGGCTCACCTCTTTCGTTTGGTTTAAAGCAGTGTTGTTTTCGTCATATTTCGTCAAATATTTTCGTCAACGCCAGCGTCAAAAAAGGGAAATATTTTCGTCAACGAGAACAACACTGGCTGTTTTCGTTGACTAAAATATTTCCCTTTCTTCCACGACGAAGACATAACGTTGACGAGCTAAACATAAGAGATGACTAAAATGTGACGAGACGAAAGTGCGTTTACATTGATGGGACGAGACGAAAATGACAAACAGAGTTGCAAAACTCAGTCAGTTAAACGCTAAACATATAGGAGCCGCTTCAGTCCGCTCTGACAGCTCTCATCAGCCTGCTGTGCTCCTCCAACACACAGACGCGCGCGCGTGCGCACACACACACACATGAGTTTTGTGGTTGACGAAAACAAAACTGGATTAAAGCCGAAATATTCCCACACTTGGGCTGTTGCGTTCGGTTTAGACACCAAAGCTGTCGTGTTCATTCTGTTTGCTTGCTTTTCACTCACGACGCTCACTTGCAGCACTGTATCCAAAAGTCTGTGTCTGTCTGCCTGACTGTGCGCGCCAGCCCCCTCGTGACAAAGACACTGAATGACTGACAGGAGGGTTCACTAACTCCGTTCATTCCGCTATAGAGCCAACGCCCCCAGGTGCCGAGAACAATGCGCAGAGTGAGTCCTCTTCTCTCATCCAGCGTGTTTGGTAGCGAGAGAGGAGGAAAACAAACGCACGTCAATTATCGAGGCTGGCAAAATGACCGACCTCGTTTTTATTTACCGAGCGATAAGGCGATTTATTGATTATCGCGACAGGCCTAATGTTACGGAATGTTATTGGTCTTTCAGAATGTCCTTAATCTTCCTGAATGTTCAGTGATTATCTAGAATGTTCTAATTTTGGACCGGCCACTTTTGGCCACAAGGGTAACAAGTGATAGTTTATACTGAAAACTGTCATTGTGCAAAAAATAATTATGTATTAAAATCAATATTTTTATCAATTATTGACATGGTCAGGGCTGTTATATCTTTATCAAAAATATTTCATTTTGCACCTCATTTTTGGAAATATTGCATATTTTGTGTTTTTCCCATTAAAAAAATCAGGGGTTCTTACGACAAAAGACACTAAAAACCTAAAAAAATATATCAAAAAATTATAATAAACTGTATATCTATGGATAGGTCTGGAGTTGGTGACAAGATATAATGCTTTAAAGTTAAAAAAAAATATGAATGTATGATGTTTTACTGCACTTTTATTAGACTGGCCACTTTTGGCCACGAGGTTAACAAGTGTCAGTAAATTTTAAGAGGTGCACAAGGGTTAAGCTGTCAACTTTGTTAAAACAGTGCTTGTTGTAAAACCAACGTGAGATATAATATTTACGTTGATAGTCTTTCACCATCTCGGAGAGATGCTTTCAGGGCAGCCTCAGATAAAAGAGTGCTGTATTTCACGCACAGATGTTCAGAGAGCCTCATACAGGAGACACTTTAAATCAAAGTGTGCAGCTTCACTTATACTTATGTAGATGAGTAATTTAGTAACAAATACTTTCATAATGAGCTCATATCCACCAGACAAGGGAACCGCAAAACTGCCCGGCACGCACAGCGAAAATCTCCTCGATTTTATAACCTAAATGTTTTGTTTTGTTTGATTTCAAGAGATTCTTGACTAAATCATTGAATTAAAAACTAATAGGAATAGGACAAGTCTTTACTTGCTATTTTGGTTAAATTCATTGTTATATTAATCGGTTAATAAAAAATAATCGTTACAATAATCGATTAATTTGTTGATAGATTAGTGGACTAATTGAAAAAAAATAATCAACAGATTAATCAATAAGAAGATAATTGTTAGGTGCAGCCCTAAACTTGAGCCCAAACCAGTCTGACAGTAACTACATGTCAACATCACAAGCAGGGGGAAGAAACATTTATATTCTGTGTCATTAATTTATAAAGTCTGTCCACAGCTCCATAAGGAGGCAGGATTTATGACCTATACTGCAGCCCGTCACCAGAGGGTGCTGTTCTCACCCAGAGAGGAGGCAGAGGGCGTCCGTTCTATATACAGTCTGTGATCATAATCAATACAAACAGTGTCATGAAAAATGATGATTGAACATTTCGAACTGGATTAAAGAATAAACAGAGACTGATGAAGAGGAGGAATGAGCGTTAGCTTCTTCTTCTTCACGCTCCTGTTCAGACAGGTGTGTTAAGGTGTCAATCAGGTTATCATCTTAAACTTTGTGTAACATTATTTTTTTCTTTTTATGACATCTTACTTTAATAAAAACCCCTTGGTCCGTCCTGATACAGATCTAGTTATTTGTTTACTTGTTCAGTTACTAAATATTATAAGTACTTTTATTAATATTCAAAGTCTCCAGAACACTGACACCCTGTTAAAGACTAAAAATCACCTTTACAACCAAATCAACCATCAGTGAACTTTTATAAACTTAAATTATCAGGATTATTGATTAGATTCAATAATTAGATTAGATTAGATTCTGTGTGTGTGTGTGTGTGTGTGTGTGTGTGTGTGTGTGTGTGTGTGTGTGTGTGTGTGTGTGTGTGTGTCTGCAGGTAACACACTTGACTGATGCTAACAGGTGTGTGTGTGTGTGTGTGTGTGTGTGTGTGTGTCTGCAGGTAACACACCTGACTGATGCTAACAAGTGTGTGTGTGTGTGTGTGTGTGTGTGTCTGCAGGTAACACACTTGACTGATGCTAACAGGTGTGTGTGTGTGTGTCTGCAGGTAACACACCTGAGTGATGCTAACAAGTGTGTGTGTGTGTGTCTGAGTTTGTGTGTCTGTATATGTGTGTTTATGTGTCTGTGTGTGTCTATGTCTGTGTGTGTGTGCATCTAAGAGTGTCTGTGTGTGTCTGCATGTGTGTTGGTATGTGTGTCTGAGTGTGTGTGTCTGTATGTGAACATGTGTCTGTTTCTGTGTCGTTTTTTAGTCTGTGGTTGTGTCTGTTTGTATGTTTGTACGTGTATCTGTCTGCTTGTGTGTCTGAATGTGTGTCATTTGTTAGTCTGTGGGTGTGTCTGTTTGTATGTTTGTATGTGTAACTGTGTGTGTCTGTACATGTCTTTATATGTGTCTGTTTGTATGTGGGTGTGTGTCTGTTTGTGTGTCTGTATGTGTGTGTGTCTGTCTGTATATGTGTGTCTGTTTGTGTTTGTGTCTGTGTGTGTATATCTGTGTGTGTATCTGTGTTTGTGTCTATGTGTATATCTGTGTGTGTATATCTGTTTGTGTCTGTGTGTGCATCTAAGAGTGTCTGTGTGTGTTGGTATGTGTGTCTGAGTGTGTCTGTATGTGTATGTGTGTTTGTTTGTGGGTCTGTATGTGTGTCTGTATGTGAACGTGTGTCTGTTTGTGTGCCGTTTGTTATTCTGTGGTTGTGTCTGTTTATGTGTGTCTGTGTGTGTGTGTGTGTGTCTGTGTGTGTTTGTATGTGTGTCTGTGTGTCTGTATGTGAACAGGTGTATGTTTGTGTGTCTAAATGTGTGTCGTTTGTAAGTCTGTGGGTGTGTCTGTTTGTATGTGTGTCTGTGTTTGTGTCTATGTGTATATCTGTGTTTGTGTCTGTGTGTGTATATCTGTTTGTGTCTGTGTGTGTATATCTGTGTTTGTGTCTGTGTGTATATCTGTGTTTGTGCCTGTGTGAATATCTGTTTGTGTCTGTGTGTGTATATCTGTGTTTGTGTCTGTGTGTATATTTGTGTATGTGTATCTGTGTGTGTGCGTGTGTGTGTGTGTGTCTGTGTGTATATCTGTATCGGTATCTGTATGTGTATATATGTCTGATGGCTCTTCCTCACACCCCGTGACTCTCCCGTGGACTTGCTAGCATGCTAACAGCTAAAAACACCTTTGAGGCTAAACCCGGGTTCTTGGACCCGGGTTCTGGAGGACTCCTCTGATCTGTGGGCCGGTTCAGTCTGACCCTGACTTAAATTTAAATCAGAAAATTAAACTTTAAAAACATAATTTCGTTTATAAAAAGGTCACACACATACACACACACTAACTGTTAGCTGACACTGACGCCACACCTGGATACCGCACGCACACACGCGCTGACAGCTACCTGCGCGCGAGCCCACCGACCCGAAATAAGACCACAGGTGTGTTTTTTTTCTCACCTGCATCCGATGAAACTCCTCCTCTGACAGAGCCTGAGACATGGCCATGGTTACCTGGACTGCTAGCTAGCAGCAGGCTAAGCTAGCGGAGGAGACGGTGCGGCTAACAGAGAGGAGCAGAGAGGAGCACAGACATAGGTCTCACTCCGACTCTTTTCTCTGAACCCAAGAGGAGTAGAGCACAGACAGAGCTCTCACTCTGACTCCAATCTCTGAACCCAACACTAACAGCGTCAGTCAAAGTAAGGTCAGTCACATCGATGTGCTTCAAACTGGACTTTTACCGGAGTATACGTGATTCATTCTTATTTATTCACATTTTTAAGCTTCAAACTAGTTTATTTCAGCCGATATTATTGGCTGAGATAATATTATTTACCTTATTAACTCTTTCAAAGATTTCCAAAACTCCGGAAAAATCAGCGACTCATTTAGACGGTGGGCCAAGGCTGCGTTTCTGCGGTGGCCGAGAACTGCCCCTGCAAAAAAAAAAAAAAAAAAATAATAATAATAATAATAATAATAATAATAATAATTAATACAATTTTAATGACACACTGTCGTAACAGTGAAATTACAGTTTTTCTCAGTCGCTTTGGTACATTTCTCGGATCAGAATTGAAATTCTCAAAACTACGTGTTCAATCTTCACATCATTGTGCCACTTGTGCACATTAAAAAAGCAGTTTCTCATTTCTTTGAACAACTTGCAAATGCTTTGGTACATCCATGCAAATGATTATGTACAATTTTCTGCTGTTTTCTACATTATCAATTGCTTATGTCATGTTGATCAAAATGTATTATAATGGTTCTCTGTTGAATAGTCTCACCCCCCTCAACATTTAGGCATTAGTTCATTGCATAAGTCTTTACATGCAAAATGGTTGAACAAGCTGTCATAATATGTCAAGCATATTTCTATACATTTCCATTAGACGTTTTTGAATCTGTCCTGAATTGGTAAATTCCTCCCAGGTGAATCTTGACTTTCTCTAGCCGTGGGAAATGTGGTGAAGCATTAGATCAACCAATGAGCAACCACTTTTCTGAAATAGCTCAAAGGTGCGTCTCATGAACCCTCAACTGGCAAGTATATATATTGCCAGGGCACAACACAATGTTACAATGTCTGACAATGGAAGGACAAGGAATTGGACGGGGTCGACAGCCAGAGAGAAGAAGAGGAGTGAGGCTGCATGGCGGAGGAGTTGGGAGGCAAAACAGAGGAAGAGGCAGAAGAGGCAGAGGACATATGCACGTTCCTGATGAGATAAGAGCTACACTTGTAGACCACGTTCTCAATCATGGGCTTACAATGGCTGAGGCTGGCCGAAGGGTGCAGCCAAGTGTTGGGAGAACAACTGTGTTCTCAATCATTCAGACATTTCGTTGACAGAACAGGTATGTAATCTAACAATAGGCACTGTACTGTAATACTGTATACTTTCTGTGATGCTTCATACAATATTGCAGTATTCGACTTTCATTTTACAATATACAGTAAGTATACTATATACAGTGACATTTTGGATGAGTGACATTTTGTGGATAAGAATTTGTGGCCCAACAGACAGGAACATCAGGAGGTGTAGGAAGACTGTACTGTAATTCCTACAGCACTGCATTTCCAGTTTTCCCTAAGGAAATTGTCCTATGTTCACATTTCTACTTTCGTTTTTTTTTTTTTGTTTTTTTTTATTGTGCTCTGCAATGCTGTTTTTTTCTTTTCTGTATCACAATGACATGGTCTGTCATCAAATTACAGTCTCTTGCAATCAATCTCCCACATACACTGAGGTGTAACTTACAATTTACAATGATTGTCATCAAAACTTTAGCCATAGTTTACATCAGAACATCCCTCCAGGGTACACTGTTATACTGACAACATGACTAAGCAATTTGACTGTCTTATCCATACACAATGACACAAGGACTTGTCATTCTAATGGCACTGACATGTTCATTGACACGGATATTTACTTTTGAGAGATGTACTAAGGATTTTGAGCAAGAGACTGGCTTTTGCAGGTAGTCCATGGTGTTTTGCTATTTGTACAAATTGTTTTGAGAAAAGGACTTACTGTTTTGCAAATGTCAAGGATGATTCGAGAAATGTACCAAAGGGACTGAGAAAAACTGTAATCAATAACCTTTCAGCTTACTTCTTTGCTCGTCTACTGTGCCTGGATCATAAACACTGGTGCATCATCATTATGGGTCCTCAGCAGCTCACTTTTGCTGTGGCTTTTTTTGTTTGCATCCTTTTGTTTTCACAGTAAGTCACTTTTTTTTTTTTTTTTTTTGCATCGTTAACTTCTGTTGTGGCTTTTTTTTAAATCTGCACCCTTTCTTTTTTATTTGCAGCAGGCTTCAGTTTCTTTCTTTTTTATTTTGCATCAGTAACTTCCATTGTGACCTCTTTTTTTTTTTGCATTCCTTTTTATTTGCAGCAGCGGCAGTTCTCTGCCACTGTGCTTTAGAGGCGTTGGACACTTTTCCAACCTTGAACTGCTCTAACTAACCGTGGCCATGTGCTTTAAGTTAGATTTTTTTTTTTCCTTTTGTGGCTCTTCATAAAGCTTGTGACCCCAAATTCTCAAATACAGGCAGTTATTTGAATGTAGTTTACAGTGATCTCTGACCCCTAATTTTCACCGCATTTGGAACGGCTCCAATCCGGATTGCGTCCGCCAATTCCTACCGGATCCATTTGTGAGGCAAATTTCATGGCGGATTATGGACAGTGGTAATCGCGAGAACTCACAAGAACCCGCAGATTCACATGCAATCAAGCGATAACAAGTTGTCTCTATAAAGACAGACACATAGACATTTTATTTGCAGTGGGATTCAGTTTCCTGAGTAACTTCTGTTGTGGTTTCTTTTTTTTTTTTTTTTTGCATTCTTTTTTATTTGCAGCAGTGGCAGTTCTCAGCCACCGTACATGTCTGCTTAAGTTGTTGAAAATAAAGATCTCCACTCAGGGAAGATTTTTCGCACATTTTCACAAAATTGATGTTTAAAGTTCGCTAAAATATCAACGCCGCTGCCAGTTATATTAGTTGAATTTAATTAATCAGCTGCATCATTAGAGAGCCATGATTAACTTTTGCAGCTAGAAAACTGAATGTGAGAGCAAGAAGCTGTGTAAAATGTTAATATATTATCATTTAATTATAAAAATTATACCTGTGTTTTATGTTTGTCTGTGGACCCTTTTTGTGAATTTAATTTATTTTTTTGTGCAGCCTCCCTCTTCTTTGTTGGTTTCTTTTCCTTTATATTTGAGTTGCCCTCCTTACTTCTCCCCTTTTCATTTGTTAAGAGGTAGGTTTCCGCCTCTTTACAACTTTAAATAAAGATTCAATATGTCTACTTTAAAGCAAGGTACCAATACTGTATGTATCTACTCTATCATACAGTTCTTATTCATTATGGCCTTTTAAGTAACCCTGTTTCTTTGTTTTCTTTTCATTTTCATCTTTGTCATTTGCAGTGTTGGTCCTCCTGTATGTCTTCAGGGACAGTATGAGGCTGCAAAGCTGGTTATCAACTCCTGTCTCCAGTGGATCGATGAACACTTCCTTCTCTTGTGCATCTTGGTCTGCAAACTCCCTGCAGCAGACACACACAGGTGAAACTATTTTATGTTTCCTCAATACGTCAACCAGAGGAAGGAAACCTCTGTGTGACAAAATCTGTTCGCTTAAACTCGGTGGAGTAATCGAGTTACAAACCTAAACTTTCTGTTATTTCAGTCAAAGTTTCCCCACACTTCCTGCTCTGAGAGAGAGAAGGGGGTGGGGGTTATCTGCTGTTAAATCATTGACTAACAGGTGTAAATATAGAGGCAGAACTCTGAGACGTAAAGAGAGAACTAAGAGAGACACTCAGCGTAGTTTCATTTTGCATGGTCAGTTTGAAGCCGCAGCTCTACCACACACAGACTCTCTCTCTCTCTCTCTCTCTCTCTCTCTCTCTCTCTCTCTCTCTCTCTCTCTCTCTCTCTCTCTCTCTCACACACACACACACACACACTCAGAATAGAGGTGTCGGACGCTTGCGGGTGTTTGTTGGATGTTATTCGATGCCACATGGAGCTGCTGTCCTCCCTGCTGTCCTCCCTCAGGTCTGTGGACACCGATACTCTGGATCAGGAGTACAGCGTGAGTCTGAGTGTTTCAGGGCTGAACATGTCCTCATCATCACATTTAACTTTTAGTTAAAGTCTAATTTTTCTGATCAGAAACTTTCACTCAGGACCAAGGTGTCTTTTTCCATTTTTGTGTCATTTATTAGAGTGACACATGAGACTGTGAGGTCCTGAGAAACCTGGTGTGAGTCAGTCGGGGTTGAGGTTAGCTCTCACAGGTATTCTCCTCATCTGTGAATGCAGTGTCCTCTTTTCACAGTTCTTCTTGTTTGTTTGTTTGTTTTGCTGAGTCAATGCCATGGTAACCTGGAACAAAACCATCAGGCAGGTACAGGAAGTCCAAAGTAAAGGGACAGTGTTGTCTGTGTGGTCAGGTCTGATCTGATAAACAGCATGTTTGTACTGCTCACTATTCAAAGTTTATTCGCTCACTTTTTCCCCCTATGCTTTACGACTCTAAAAGTGAAAATGACAGCGTTCCCTCTTCTCTGACACGATGATTATCATGTCTGTTTTTGCTGATTCAGGTCGTACAGATTAAAGCTCCTGTAAGGAACTTTTCATTTGTGTTCAGAAATGGTCGCTCCTTATTAGTTCTGAAGAGTTTTGGTTAAAATAATTAAAGTTTGTCTTTTATTGTGAACACACATCTTGTTTGCTCATGAAAAAGCATCAAATTGAATTTCAGTCTATTTGATAAACGTTAAAAAACTCATTTGAGCTTTAAATTCAGAAATAAGATCAAAGACTTTGAGGTTAAACTGAATTAAATTAAAATCAACTGATTTTGATTAACTTACAATTAAAAGAACTAATAAAAATGTTGTTTTCATGTGAAAAAGTAGTAACTAACCCGATAATCATCTCCTTTAGAGGTTGTCTAACTTTGGAGCATTTTCACAGACCTCACTTTAGTTCCTGAAAAAGTCAAACTAAAAAGTTTTTAGGGTTTTTCAAATGTTTTTTTTTTATATAAATTAAAAGATAATTGATCGCTACACTAACCCAGATTACAGTCTCCTCTTCATTCTCAGACCTCAGCTGTTTTCATCTCTCTCTCTTATTTTCTCATTTTCATTTATTTCAGCTGTGTGCTTCCTGTGTTTCCTTTTCTCAGTCACACTTGTTGTGATGTTAGTCAGTGTCTCCTCTCCTGCCTCCTCCTCATTCTTTTCTAACTCTAAAAGAAAGGTTGTACTTTTCCCTGTCTTTGCCGTCTCTTCATTTAAGTCCTCCTCCTTCTTCTTCTTCTTCTTCTTCTTCTTCTTCTTCTTCTTCTTCCTGATGTGCAGACTGCAGAGCGTGCTCAGAACGGTTCTGGATGAGGCGTCTACACGGAGGAGAAAATGGATCAGTACCCGTGTCTATATCCTGATAAAGGAGAATGTCCATTTGAATGTGTTCACATGTTTTAGAAAAGTCCAGTTTCAGTCAGACTGATGCCTTTATAGGATTTATTAAACAACATGTGAACATATGAGCCCTGAAACAGGTGGAGGGAGACCTTGGTGGACTCTCTGGGTGTTCCTCAGGGCTCAATTATCAGTCCTCTTTAGAAGTTATGACCGTTTTGAGAGAGATTTAAAGGTAGGGTATTTAGGATCTGAGGAAGTGCCAGTTTTTTGGGAGAAATCTTGAATGTAAACACTACCCCTCCCAACCAGTTTTTTCAGGACTTACACAACTAGGATAAAGTGACATAGACCAGGACCCGAGGTCAACAGTTTAGCGGCGCTACAACACACTACAGCAGGTCCCGTTTGACAAGAAACACTTCTGTTACAGACACTTGTCTTACTTTGTTAAAGCAGTTTACCTGTCCAGCAGAAAGGTTACAGGGTCACCAAGATCCTGAAGCGTCCCCCATCGTTTATGTTGACCCGGCTTTTTAGCTCTTGTTAAGTCTACCTCCGTTTTAAGCGCCCGTTATTCCTCCAGAGTCTCCGGTATTTACTTTGTTTTCTTGCTTGTGTCGGCAGTCGTGGCCAAAGGAGGATTCAGACAATTTTCCGAACTTTCTGGTTGGTTTCTACTGTCCGATATTGTAGCACGCTAACTTTGTTTGGGCTCCTGAACGACATGGGGGAGCAGTGTCTGCCTCACAACCAATCAGGTCGGGGAGGTGGAGAACGGCTTTGTTTACAGTCAGAAAGAGCGGACCGCTCAAAAATGTTAAAATGTTGACGACACAGACATAAGAGAACACAGAGATATCGTTATATTACCAAATGTCATCAATAACTAGTAACTATTGACTGATATTAAAAGATTTTTTGTATAAACACCACAAAAAAGATGCTTCTTTAACGTATTCCTGCCTACACCACCTTTAAGACGTAAATACTGTAGTTTTCCTTAAAGATTAGTTTTGTTGTTTACATCAGTAAAGTCATGACAGCTGATCATCAGACGGTAAAATCAGCTGTTTCATTCACTGGTCAGTGTCGTGGGTTACACTGTTTCTTCCATCACATCGTAGTAGTTTGACTCTCTCTATCTAATTTATCTGTACTTCACCTTTAAATGCAGAATTGTTTTGTATGCTGATGATATAATGAGTTAGGGCAACTAAAAACCAGGTTTCTAAGACGTGTATGTGTTCAGAACTTCATGTGTCTTCTGAATCAGAGACAGGCTGGTCTGTGGTCCTGGGTCTGGGAGTTTGATTCTGGTTCACAGTTTGTTCAGAGACCTGGAAACAAGGACAGACTGGGTTAGACGGTTGCTGAGGATCAGGAAAGCAGGCCGATAAAGAAAAGCTTGTTTCTGAGCTGGGTTGGTCCTGCAGAGTGACGGTGGTTTGATTATACATGAGCAATAGGGGTCTAAAGTGAGTCCACCAGAGATCTTTGACTCAAAGTAAGACGACCTGAGAGAGTTTTTCATCAACCAAGTCCCTCAAAGTTAAAAGTCTGAACTAAAGTGCTGACCTGATGAGACTTGGACACAATCGAAGAAAAGAGATGTCTTTAGTGTTTGTTCGTGTTTTATTGTGTTCGTTGTGGATTATCTGCTCTGTGATGTTAACCCCGGACTGTCGAGAATCACCTCAGACTTTCAGAAAACCTAAAACTGAAGTGATTCTAAAAAAAGTGAAGTGAGGTTGAAAACAGCAGCAGCACACCCTCTCAGTTACACAAGACAACACTCTGAGAATAAACCAGTGGCTGCAGACGGAGAGACAGAGAAACCTGCAGAAAAAATAACCTCCACCACCACCGCCATCAAGACTGTCTGCTCTGTCTCTTAGGGTAGATTAAGTCCAAATAAGTTTAGTTTAGTTTAGTTTAGTATGATTCAGTTTAGTTTAGTTTAGTTTAGTTAAGCTCTGAATATAAACCTGTGGCTGCAAACAGAGAAACAGAGAAACCTGCAGAAATAATAACCTTCACCACCACTGCCAAGACTCTCTGCTCTGTCTCTTAGGGTTAGTTTAGTCTAAATTAGTCTACTTCAGTTTAGTTTAGATTAGTATGATTCAGATTAGTCTAGTGTAGTCTAGTTTAGTATAGTATAGTTTAGTTAAGTCTAGTTTTCATGAGTCTATTCGAGTCTAGTTTATTTTTGTTAAGCTCTGAATAAAAACCTTGTGGCTGCAGACCGAGAAACAGAGAAACCTGCAGAAAACCTCTGCCACCGCCACCAAGACTCTCTGCTCTGTCTCTTTAAGTTTAGTTTAATTTAGTTAAGTTTAGATTTGTTTAGTTTAGATTTGTTTAGTTTAGTCTAGTTTAGTTTAATTTAGTTAAGTCAAGTAACTAAACTGGATTTACACCACCACTTTTTTTTTCTGGCATTTAAATTGTGTAAATTGTGTATATTGTAGAAAGTTTTATTTTTTCTTCTCCCTTTTTCCCTTCTCTAAGTTTTTTCTTAATTATTACATTTATTCAAGTTCTTAATATTAGGATCCTTATTGTTATAACTGCATTTTTGCACTCTTTGTCTTGTCTGTGATGCTGCTGTGACAAAAAAATTTCCCCCATGGGGGATCAATAAAGGAATATTCTATTCTATTCTATTCTATTCTATTCAAGTTTAGTTAAGTTTAGTCTAAATTAGTTTAGTTTAGTTTGGGTTAGTTTGGTTTAGTTGAGTCTAGTTTAGTTTAGTTTAGTTTAATTGAGTTTAGTTTAGTCTAAATTAGTCCAGTTTAGTCTAATTGAGTTTAGTTAAGTTTAGTCTAAATTAGTTTAGTTAGTTTGGGTAAGTTTGGTTATGTTAAGTCTAGTTTAGTTTAGTCTAAATTAGTCCAGTTTAGTCTAATTGAGTTTAGTTAAGTTTAGTCTAAATTAGTTTAGTTAGTTTGGGTAAGTTTGGTTTTGTTAAGTCAAGTTTAGTTTATTCGAATTGAGTTTAGTTTAGTCTAAATTAGTCATTTAGTTTGATTTAGTTTAGTTAAGTGTAGTCTAAATTAGTCTAGTTTAGTTCAGTTTAATTTAGTTTAGTTTAGTCTAATTTAGTCTAGCTTAGTTTAGTTTAATTTAGTTTAGTTAGGCTTAGTCTAAATTAGTCTAGTTTAGTTTAGTTTGATTCAATTTAGTTAAGTTTAGTCAAAATTAGTCTAGTTTAGTTTATTCTAGTTTGATTTAGTTAAGTTTAGTTCAATTTAGTTTAATTTAGTTTGGTCTGAATTAGTTTAGTTTAATCCTTTTTAGTTAAGTTAAATTAAATTTAGTTTAGTATAGTTTAAATTTGTTCAGTTTAATTTGGTGAGGTGTAGTTTATTCCGGTTTAGTTTTGTTAGGCTTAGTTTAATTTAGTTTAGTTAAGTTTTATTTAGTTAAGTTTAGCCTAATTTAGTGTAGTCTATTTTGGTCTTTTTTAGTTAAGTTTAGCCTTAATTAATTTAGCTTGATTTACTTCAGTTTATAGTTTAATTTGATTTATTGTAGTCTAGTTTAGTTTAGTTAAATTAAGTTCAGTTAAGTTTAGTTTACTTTGATTTAGTTTGATTAAGTGTAGTTTAGTTTAGTCTAAATTAGTCTAGTTAAGTCTAATTTAGTTTAGTTAACTTAAGTCTAAATTAGTTTAGTTAGTTTGGGTAAGTTTGGTTTTGTTAAGTCTAGTTTAGTTTATTTGAATTGAGTTTAGTTTAGTTTAGTATAGTCTTAATTAGTTGTTTAGTTTGATTTAGTTTTGTCAAGTGTAGTCTAAATTAGTCTAGTTTAGTTTAGTTTAATTTAGTTTAGTCT